GGTGATGGAGCTGTGTTCTGTGTAGCACTCTTCTAGAGCATAGTCAGCCAGGGACACAGTGATGTCTTGTGGCTGTTCTCGTGCTTTCCCACCTCTGTAATTCACATGTAATCTAGTTTTCTAATACTCTTAAACTAATCGAGGAGCCCACTGTCACATACAGAACATAATAGGTTATTTTCTGCATTGCCTGCTGCTGCCACAGATTCTCTTCCATGTGTAACTGTATGGTGAGTGGCAGTAGTTTACTGATCTGGGTGGAAATGAGTGTTTTCTTCACGGCTGGATCAGCAAACTGAGCTGACTTGCCATGTGGCACAGAATTGCTGGTTTGAGTGGAAAGAAAGCAGGAGAGATAGGGAACTCAAGATTGTATTTTTTAATGACCTGTGAATTTTGGTATTTGAAGCCATTTGTAGAACTGTGTCCTCAGTCGGTGCATACCTGGATTTGTTCATTACACTAATACATAATTACCTTGAAAGTTACAAGGATATTTTCAAGCTACGGCAGGGGAGATTCAGGCTGGACATGAGGAAGTATTACTTCTCAGAAAGGGTGGTCAGGCACTGGAATGGACTGCCCAGGGAGGTGGTGGAGTCACCGACCCGAGGGATGTTCAAGGAAAGGCTGGATGTTGTGTTGAGGGACATGGTTTAGTGGGAGCTGTTGGTAATAGGTGAACAGTTGGATTGGATGATCTTTTAGGTCTTTTCCAACCTTGGTGATTCTATGATTCTATGATATTAAAAGTGAGAATGATACAAAGTTCTGGATTATTTTTTGTTGGGCTTCTTTTCAGTTTGTGCTGCAGGACAGAGGACTTTGCTCATGTACCATTAGCACAGGCACTGAATTAAAGCTATTTACTTCAGGATTGACTGATTCTGGAAGGAATGTAAATAAAACAAATATTAGATCTAACATATTTGCACCTCTAGACTGCATAGTTCAGTCTTCCATAAAATGTTCATTAAATGAGCTCCATCTGACACACCTTTTTTGCTTGACTCAAAGTTCAGAAGGGAATGGAAAAGACTTGTGTAGGTGACGTATGGTTTAATATCTGTTTTTAAATGAAATCTTAACTTTATAATTCCAGACTATTAAATGATCCTGGTTTTTTGTAGGGTGGTGGTGGAGGGTTTTTTCCTCTTACGCAATTGACAGATATTTACAGCCTTTTGCTTGCTTGGCTGGAAGCTTTTTTTTCATGGGAATTCCATATAACTTGATATTAGTCTGTTATATATAGTATCTATAAGCAGTTTCTTGGGGGGAAAAAGAAAAAAAAAAAAAAAAAAAAGGTGAACAGACCTTGCATCATCTGTAACAGTTTCATAGATCTTAGTGGGAGTTTTATGTTCTTTTCCAATTCATTCATGTTGCAATACCAGCAACATTTTATTTTTTTAATGGCTGGATTCATTAATGCCTCATATCAATCCATTGTGGAACAAGCTGTTGCCAGAAATCCTTAGACAGCTGGTTCATTTTCACTTTGTTCTGTTTATACGTTTTACAGAATTTGCCTGGTTGCATGTCTGACCTCCACAAAATACAGTAGGCTTTTCTCTTTCTCTGTAATGGAAAGCTGCTATAAAGCTTTTACGGTCTCCGTAGCTCAGCTTCAGGAGTCTGAGGTTCTCTCTGTGGACTCCAGTGCCACTGGTGGATGTATCACCCACACTTCTAGGTGGGCTTTGTGCAGCTTGGTTACCAGTGAATGCACAGTAGGCTGTAGCTTCAGCAAAGTGTGCCAACTTAGCAGCCTGGTGTTGGCATTTGGTTGTCCTGCCCCCTGCTCATCTCAGAGCTCCCTGTTGTGGTGCTGCTCCTGGCTTGTTTCTGCAGGACTGATGTGGGGACTCTCTGGGCGCGAGACAGGACTGAGGTGGGCCAGCTGCCTCATGGAAGTGTCTGCCTGTCTGTCTTCCCTGGCAGCTTAGGGAACAGCTTGCTTTTTCACTGGGATGGGGTTAATTGGCCCCTCTGTACTCTTGTACCCATTTTTTTGTACCTTTGCAATGAGACTTGTCCTAGGAGAGAGGCGTGCTGTACTGACACACCTGCTGGGGAATTGTGCTGTACAGCTGTGTGCTGCCTGCAGCTGAACTCTGCCCAATGCTTAGGAGAGAGCATAGCAGTCAGAAGAGTGCGATCCCTCTCACTTGTTTTTCCATTCTGTTACACATTCTGTGTCAGCTGAGCTACAGAAAAAGTTGCTGTTAAGAGTAGTGACATTTAGCTGTCATTTTCCATTAGAATTAGACCTATTTTAACTTAGTTTTGCTAGAAAATCTCTTCAGAACCACTTTTTAGGAAGTCTGTTTATTTAGCTGTAACAGATCCTTGCCCAAACACAAGGACTGATAAATGTAATGACATTAAAGAAATCCAGTTACCTTTCTTCTGGTGGAAGGCCAGAACACACACCAGAAAGGCTTTGGACACCTAACTTTGAAAATCCCTTGCTCAGCATTTTCCTAGTCAGTAAGTGTTTAAATTCAGATAAATAGGGCCTCCTTTGCCCATAAGGCCTCATTACTATTGCATCCAGTTTTCCAAGCAGGCATTCTCCCAAATGCCTCTTTTTATTTGCCAGCTTGACATCTAGTAGGGCCAATCTGTAACAGAAGGATACTTCGACTAGGCCTAGAAGCAGAGCGTTGAACACAGGTAGAAGAAACCCAAGGTACAAGAAGCTGGGAGAAACCACATTTTCCTTTGCCCCCTCTTTCCCTTTGTGTGTCCCATCTGCAGGGTGCCGTGTGAGATAGGGGGGTCAGCACTGCAGCCCTGCAGTGGTTTAGCTGAGCTCCCTACGTGCGGGCATCCCAGTGAGGATGGAACATGCACTTGGTGTCAGAAAGCTGGGGAATGAACACATCAACTAAATAAAGATGCAGACTTCATTAAAAACAGCTACATTAGGAAGGGTTGTCTGCTTAATTGTTCACGTTCTACAAGATGCAGCTAGGGCTCGGCTGGATGTGTTCCCAGTGTTCATAAATCTACTCATGAAGAAAGCGGAGCAAGTGAGCGCTAAAAATTCCTTTGTTTTGTTTTGCTTTGTGTTTTAAATTTTGAAAATCATATTTGGTGTGTATATTTTCACATGTTCATATGAAACACATCAAAGTAAACACATGCAGTGTGTTTCTTTCGCTGTCATTAATCACGGCAGCGTTTTAAAAAGTAACAAAAAATACAGCAATGTTAAACTGTGGTCAAAAAATGAAATATACACAGCTATAGAAATTTGAAGTTCTCCTTTGCCAGGACAAATGTAGCTTGACAACCGTGTGTGATTATGTATCAGCATATGAAGTAAGTCTGGTTAGCAAATTGGACTTTTTTTTCCATTAAAAACCTCCCAACTTATATTGAAACTTTTTCAAGTACTTTTTCAACCTACCTGAAGACTCAACTGAAAATTCAGGGGAAGAAAATGGCTGTAAATTCTTCAAACACCTTTAAGAACCATTATCTTCCAATACTTTGCCACAGAATGCACTTGAAAAACAAACAAACAAACAAAAAGACATTCTCTTTAAGCCTTGCTTACGGCTTCATCTGGGCGATTTCTGTTTGGGGCACAGTTGAGTACCCAGGTGTAGATGTGAAAGATGAGAGTTGTTTGTTTCGGGCTTTGGGTTTGTTTTCTGTTTTTTTTTTTCAGCCACTGAGGTACCTGAGAACAAACAGCCTGTGAGAAGTCCACCCACCTGTCCTTTCCTGAGGTGTTAGGGAGCAGCTTTCAGGCAGGGGGTGGCTATTTTTGAATGCATTTGAGCTTCCTATTTCCTTGTTTCTCACAGAAAAGCAGTTTGTAGTCTCTGTGTCATTAAACCTGGATACTACCAAAAAGGGAAGGGCAGCATCACACTTCTGTTCCCTCCAGCAGCCTCCCCTGGGAGTAGATGCGCAGCCCACCTCTGCTGCTTCTCTCCTCTTTCAGCAGCAGCCCAGCAACCCAACCAGCAGCTTGGTCCCTGTCAGCCCATTCTCCAGGGTCTGGATGCTAGTTATGGATGTGAAATGTTTTAGTTATTTTCCTTGCTCTGATGAATGCGTTTATGAGAGGAACTGGGACAGAACTGGCAGTCTGCAAGTTAAGAGAGACGATGCTGTCATGTTGCTCTTCAGTCAGATGTAGGAAGTTGTTTTCATAAATATAAGTTAGACTTTCCCTACAGAGAGAACTTGGATAGAATATAATTAACTGAGGATCCTTAAAGATGATTTTCAAGCTTCAGTCCTTATGGGAGCTGTTTCCTTTCTTTTTTTTTTTTTTTTTTTTTTAATTTCACATCGAAATTGTACTTTTGCAGCTCTGTTTTTTGTCTAACTTTTTTTGCTTAAATACACAGAAAAGAGCACAACCATGAGGAGGCTAAGCCAGAAGTGCTGTATTTTCTCAGCTTCTTTTTCCTGCACTCTTAAATGCACTCTTTGTTTTTTAAGATTATATACAACAGATAAACAAGTGTGCATACTTTTCACGTAACTAACAACCACTCAGACAGTTCCTGCCTCATATTGCTGAATAATCTGAAACTTCCTGAATGCTATAGAAGACCACTGTTTCTTCCCACAAGTATTTTAGCTTGTGGGTTCGCCTTATTTACCGAAGTGTTCCAATAATCTTTGAGACTAATTAAGGCAACACATCAGTTCATTATCAAACTGAGTTATCGAACTTAGGAGTACTGTTGCTTGAGGCTCTGTGAGGAGAATTGGGTTTCAGAATCTAAATCATCCCCAGGTGCATATCTTTTCTGTGGCAAACAGAAAGTGCCAGAAGTCTGGAATCACAATTTAGGTACCTTGATCAGGTAGGATGGATTTGGGCTGAGGCATATAACTTTGTAAGCAGAAAATATGTGAGCTTTCAAATAGTGTCAATCCAGTTAATTCTTAACGTCTTGGAGAAGCATGGCAGAACGTGAAATGCTTCTCAGTTCTCAAGTTCATAACTTTTCCCTTTCCCTCCACAGAGGCTGCTACCGACCCCCCTACAGCACCTGACAACGAACCTATGTTTACAAAACTCCGCAGTCCGAGCACAGGCAAGTTTTGGAATTGTGACATGAGCCTGTTAATGCTTTGGTTGATTCCCTCCACCACCAAACTATTCGTATTTTGCAAGCTGAAATAGTGATGATAATGTAAGTCTTATGTGCCAGAGATACTGCTGTTGATGCCAGATAGTTTAATGCTGTGCAAACATTTAGGATTTCTTTTATAATTTTAATTGGTTGAACTGTTTATTCATCAGGAATATTGGCAGCACAAAAAAGAATTGTAATTTAAGTTGTGTTTTTAAATGCATTTAATTTGGGGAACTTGCAGTGTTGGGTGTTGAACTTTGGCTTTTTTTTTTAAATCCAAATTTAGGCTTCATACCATTCATCTTATGCTGTAAAATAAACAGGCAGAGTCAGAAAAGTGATACAGTTATACTTACCAAGCTTTTTGAGTCTTTTCATTTTTAAAGCTAATATTCTTCTTTCCTTGCTTCAAGCAGTGCTATCTCTTTTCTTATTAATAGATGATGAGGCACTTTAAATACGAAATACATTGGAAAGACCAGCAAATGCAAGTGATATAATCATACCACCATCCTACAAATAGTTACTTTCCTCTGGTCAGATTGCCCTTTTTGTCAAGGATTTCTTATTAAGTATGAGTAATCTAATCACAGAATTGTAGGGGTTGGAAGGGACCTCCAGAGATCATTGAGTCCAACCCCCAGTGTTTGCAGTATGAGATACTGGAATAGAAACTTGCAGCAAGCCTTGGTTAAGGTTAATGCATTTTGCTTAAAGACAGAATTAATGCATTTTTTCCTTTTTTTACAATCTCATTTGATTTCTAAGTTACGTATTTTTATATTGAAATTCACTATTCTTATTTATGTGTTTGTAACTGGAGTCTTCAGGTACTTTAACACATGATGTACTCATTTCTAAGTCTTCCTGAAAGAGTAATTTAAAAACAATAGATACAGAATATGAAATCATTTTTCCTCATCATGATATCTATTTTTTGATTGCTCAGATTTACTATGAGAATATACAGCCACAGACATTTTCCACCTGCTTTATTATGTTGTCTTGTAATTTATTATGTTTTTAAAAGCACACATGTTAATTTGCTTTTCTCTGTGGAAGATCTGTTCAACTTGATGAATATGAGATCTTGGGAAAGGTTTCTGGGAAAAACCAAGAGTACAATGATTTGACTGGGTGTGTTCCTTTAGAATTTACAGAAGCTTATGTGTAGACCTGCATGAACTTCCAGTGATGTCGTGCATTAATATTTGAAAATAGAAGGACTGAGAACTCCTGATAATGTCTTTTGCTTATGTTTGGATCTAACAGACAAATTGTTGTTGACAAATATTGTATAAATAGCCACTGAAAGGTTCAACGTACAGCAGATATTCATGCTAACCACTTTGTTTAATGAAAGCATGCATGGTCCTTTTTATAGGCAAGTAAAAAGGACAACGTTTCTGTCCTGTACAAAGACTACAAACTGGAGTTTTAGCTTGTAATTCAGAAATGCTGCAAGAAGCATTTTTCAAAGTTCTGAACTAAAACAAGGGAATATTTATGCTACAAACTTAATCATCTAAATGAAGTGATAAAAGTAGAAGCAAAGCTGCCTAGATTCTCTCCTTGTTCACTAGAGAATGTCTCTAATGATAGTGTTGATAACCTGCGGTGCTTGTCCTTTTAACGCAAGCAGGTAAAACAAGGAGCTGAAGTTAGGCAATAGAAATGGTCCATTTCACAACTTTTCCTTGCTCTCCACCATGCTTGGCTGGAAGACTCACTGGTAGGAGTCTTTTAAGTTGTGCAACAAACTCTTCTGTGATTAGTCTTGATGTGTGGTGCTGATCAAACTATGATGTAGACCCTTGTTGAGAATCACATGGTGATGATGGATATCTCTGCTCTTCCTAGTATTTGCTGTTCATTCCTCCCACATCCAAAAGAAATGTGATTGTCAGAGAACTGAATCTGTAACCTTAGGTGAAGTTAAACATCCCATCAGCTTTTGAATAAAGGGGGGAAAAAGCATCATCAGTCATTTTTTGGGAAAAGATGCATCTGCCCATTTTAGCTGACCTTCCTTCAGTAAGACCCAGGTATCTGTCCAGGCTGAAAACAGCAGTGATTACATCAGCTTTTAAGGGCTTGCACTGATACTTTTTTGAGCCTGCCCATGATCTTTAATTTTCCAAGCTGTATTTTGAGCAGGATTGCAATAGTTAATGTTGCCTTTGAGGATGACAGGACTAATTCAGCCTACAGACTCAAGTACCTGAACATCTGTGGCCCCTTCTGCAGTTCTGTGACTTCCTAGTTTAGACGTAGAAAATGCCAGTCTTTTTTGTAATGTATGTCATTTTTTCATTAGAGCCCAAAACTAACATGAAACAGCAGAGTTGTGCTGTGGAGCAGCCTAAAATAAAGCTTCCCTTTTCAGACTGTCAGTATTCTCTTGTTCACCTTACTTGTGTACTCATACTGAGTTACTGCTGTCCGCTTAGATGCGCAAAAAAAGATATCACTGTCACTTGAGGATTTTGTTCCTTACTTCTGATATCTTAGATACAAACATGAGAGAAGACAAGGAAATTTTCTGGGTTTCCACCTTCCCCCTTCAGTACAGGCAAAAAAAGTAATTTCTTGTGTGATTTTGATTTGGGTTTGGATCAAAGGCTTTGTGTTGTAAGATGAACTATTCACACATCTTATTTATTGATTCAAATTCAATTTGGTTTATAGAGCTGGTAAATGAACATCTGTATATAATAGTTTTCTTTGTCTGAGCTTTCTTTGTAGTGAGTTTATGTAGAATGTGCGTATGTTTGTGTGTGTGTGTGTGTGTGTGTATAAGACACATTCTTCAGATGTATTGGGTATTCTTTTGATTTTTGTGAAAGCTTACAACACAAACCAGATTTCTTTTTCAACAGGGGAAGCAACTCTTTACTTATTCAATAGTGGTGCACAGCAGCTGTTCGAAGTAAAAGCTTTTCATGAGGAATATCGTTCCTGGTTTATAGGTGAGACTGTTCAACAAGGTGAGTAATGTTTTGTATCCTTCCCCCAACCATAACTAATGTTCATACAAAGAGACCTTCTCTCTTTCTTCTATTAAATTTACAGGTGTTTCTCTTAGTTGTTTGAGGCATGCTGCATCACGTCCCCACCTTCTGACGCACTCATTTGCCATCTGGATTTAAGCAGGGCTAGGGGCTTTGTGGTCTCTCTTTAAAAGGCTGCCTTTGGCAGCTTCAATTAGACAGATGTTGATTTGTCTTTGAGGAAGGGTATGGTGGGATGGGGGAGTTGTTCAGTTGTGTTTAAACTGAAGTGCCATAAAATACTTAGCTTTCCTTGTCAAACCAGAAAGTCCTCGGTGTACGTAAAATATTTCTTATCCTATAGAAGGGAAAAAGGGCTGGAAAGCCTGAGCTAGCTAAGCAGAGCAACGCTAAGCAGAACTCCAAGCACTGGAGTGTGGTTTGATCTGGTTTTCTTTTAATTACCTCTGTAGTCTTCTCTGTAAGTGCTGTGGGATAAGCCTGCTGTCTGAAGGTGCCATTTCAGTGCTGTGTCTAAGTGACCTCATCTGTAGCATCATAGTCTCTGATCCTAGCTCATCTTTCTGAAAATGAGAAAGAAGTTTGTGCAACCACTCATGATGGCTTTAACAATCCTTTCTCAGTAAGGATGTCCCTGGTATAGTGTTTCACTCCCAGAATTTCCATAGATTATGTAGTTAGTATCCCTTCAGGAGATGAAGGTGTGTCCTTTTTGTCTGTTTGTAATTAGAAAAAAGACCATTTCTAATATTAAAATAAATAAAGTGACTCGAGCAGACATATACCTTCTTTAATGGCAATATCCCAAATGTGTGTTAATGTTTAAATGTACTTTGCAGGTGTATATAGCAATGCAAGCAGTAGGTCTATGAGCTTTTCCTTATTCCCTTTAGGGGTGAGCCAAAAGACTGAGTCTGCTCCCTGCTCCCAATTATGTCCACTCTATATTCTCCCCCTCCCTTTCTAACCTCTGCTTTGGCCCTTGGGAAACAATGGCCATTTTCTTTTTTCTTTTTTTTTTTTTAATATATAAAAAAGGGTAAAATTTTTTCCTGAATGGAATTGGGCTGCTGCATCTCTGAAATAGTTGGGCCATGAACAACTCAGAAGAGCTGTGTGTTTGCAAATCATCTCATTATCTGCCAAGAAGGAAATGACTGGAATGTAGGAATAGACAGGTATAAACTCTTCAGGAAGGACAGGCAGAGGAGAAGGGGAGAGAGGTGTTGCCCTCTGCATGAAGAACCAGCTGGAGTTCATGGAGCTCTGCCTGGGGATTGATAAGGTGCTGACAGAGAGTTTATGGGTTAAGGTTAAAGGGAAGGCAGAGGAAGGAGACATCGTAGTGTGGGTCTGAAACGGGTGGCTCAACCAGGAAGACCAAGTGGATGAGACCCTCTATAAACAGATAGGAGCAGCTTCACATTCATAAAACACGGTCTTTGTGGGGGCTTCAACCACCATGGTGTCTGTTGGAGGGGCAACACAGCAGGGCACCAGAAATCAAAGAGGTTTCTGGAATGTGTTGATGATTACTTCTTCTAAGTGGTACAGGAATCCACAGAAGAGGTACTGTGCTGGAGATTGTCCTCACCAACTAGGAGGAGCTGGTGAGTATTGCAAAGTTCAAGGGTGGTGGAGTTCAAGATCCTCATCCACAGAATGGTGGAGTTCAAGATCCTTAGGGTGTCAAAGAGGGCTTGCTGCAAGCCTGCTACTCTGGACTTCAGGAGGACAGACTTCAAACTCCTCAGGGAACTGCTTGGCAGGGTGACACGAGATGAAGCCCTGGAGGGAAGAGGGTCCCAAGAAAGCTGGTCAGTATTAAAGGACCATCTCCTCCATGTCCAGAAGCAGTGCATCCCTAGAAAGAAGGCAGGCAAGAATGCCAGAAGGCCACTGTAGACCAGCAAGGAGCTCCTGGACTGACTTTGACTTAACAAAGAAGTGCGTAGGGAGTGGAAGCAGGAATGGATTGCCTGGAGGGCTACAAAGAAGGAATCAGGTTAGAAAAACTAAAACCCAGATGGAATTAAATCTAGCCAGGGACATAAGGGGTAACAAGAACAAATTCTACAGGTATATCAGTGACAAAAGGAAGGCCAGGAAAGATGTGGGCACCTTCTGGAACCAAACTGGAGACATGGTCACAGGGGATACAGAGAAAGCTCAGATGTTCAATGACTTCTTTGCCTCAATCTTTACCAACAAGGGCTCTAGCTTCACTGCCCAAGCTGCAGAAAGCAAAGGTAAGAACTGGGAGAAGGAACCCCTGCTGCTAGTGAAGATCAGGTTTGAGACTATCTGAAGACTGAAGGTGCGCAAGTCTACAGAACTCAGTGAGATCCATTCATGGATTACAAGGGAAACAGCAGATGAAGTTGTCAAGCTGCTATCCGTCATGTTTTGAAAGGTTGTGGCAGCCTGGTGAAGTTCCCACTGACTGGAAACATAATCCCCATGTTCAAGAAGGGAAAAAAAGAAGATCCAGAAAACTATGGTCTCACCTCTGTGCTTGTCAGCATCATGAAAGAGGTCCTCCTGAAGGCTCTACTGAGGAGGAAATATGGAAAACAAAGTTGAGGTAATTGATGGTAACTAATATGGCTTCACCAATGGCAACTCATGCCTGACAAACTTGGTGGCCTTTTATGATGGAGTTACAGCATCAGTGGATAAAGGAAGAGTAACTGACATCATCTACCTGGACTTGAGCAAAGTGTTTGACACCGTTTGCACGACATACTGATTGTCAAATAGAAGAAAAATGGATTTGATGGATGGGCCATTTGCTGGATAAGGAATCAGCTGGATGATTGCACTCTTGAGAGTTGCAGTCAATGTCTTCAATGTCTCAGTGTCCAAGTGGAGATGGTGACAAGTGGCATTCCTCAGGGATCAGTGCTGGGACCAGTGGTACTGAACATCTTTGTAGGCAGCATGGACAGTGGGATCAAGTGTAATCTCAGCACGTTTGCAAATGACACCAAGCTGAGTGATGCAGTTGACATGCTAGAGGAAAAAGGATGCTGTTCAGAGGGTCCAGGAAAGGCTTGAGAGGTGGGCCCATGCCAGCCTCATGTATTGCAACAAGGCCAAGTGCAAGGTCCTGCATCTGGGTCAGGGCAGTCCCAAGCACAGATACAGGTTGGGTGGAGAATGGCCTGATATTGGCCATGAGGAGAAGGATTTGGGGGTGTCAATTGATGAAAGGCTCAACATGGGCCAGCAATGTGCATTTGCAGCCCAGAAGGCCAAATGTATTCTTGCATCAAGATTGCATCAAGAGAAGCATGACCAACAGGTTGAGGGAGATGATTCTGCCCCACTACTCTGCTCTCATGAAACCCCATCTGGAGTACTGCCTCCAGTTCTGGGGCCCCCAACACAAGAATAACATGGAGCTGTTGGAGCAGGTCCAGAGGAGGGCCACAAAGATGAATAGAGGGCTGCAGAATCCTCTCCTAGCAGGACAGGCTGAGAGAGCTGGGACTTTTCAGCCTGGAGAAGAGAAAGCTCTTGGGGAAGCTTATAGAGGCCTTCAAGTACCTGAAGGGGGGGCCGACAGGAAAGCTGGGAAGGGACTTTTTAGAAGGGCATGGAGCAACAGGACAAGGGGGAATAGTTTTAAAGTGGAAGAGGGTACATTTGGACAAAATATAAAGAAGAAATTCTTTCCTGTGAGGGTGGTGAGACAGTGGAACAGGTTGCCCACAGAGGTTGTGGGTGCCTCCTCCCTGGAAGCATTCAAACCTAGTCTGGATGGGGGCTTTGAGCAATCTGGTCTGGAGGAAGGTGTCCCTACGTTTAGCAGGAAGGCTGGAACTAGATGATCAGATCTTAAAGGTCCTTTTCAACCCAAACCGTTTCATGATTCTCCAAGGTCTTCATACATCTACAGTGAGTCAGAACTCCATAGAACAAATTAAAATACTTTTTCCTGAAGGTACAGATGAAAGCTTATAAATGGGAGCTTTAAGAAAAGAGCTAGGTTTTTTTTTGTTTTTTTTTTTTGTCTCCAGTCTTATTATCAAAACTTGCAGGTTTGTGAAGAAGTAGTCTTGGTACTTTCTTTGCTAATAGCTGTGGAGTTGGGATTATTTTTGTCTAATTGTCAGGGAAATATATTCCCTTGGGACCTGGGTAGTATTCTTCCAGGGACCTGGCAGTGCCATACTTGGAGAAATATTTTGGCCCTGAATGTCTTGGTTTTACTTGCTTGGGCTGGTCTGTATAATTTTGATGCCTTTTTTTTTTTTTTTTCATTTGATTCACACTGAGTACTAGAGCCATGTTTCATGGCTGGTACTTGGAGGCTTAGATATTGAGTACCGATTTTCAGAAGGAAGACAGCAGAGTACAGTGTAAGAGCTCACTCTGCTCCAGCCTATGTGTCGTTTGGTATCCTCGAGGCTTGTCAGAAACTGTAGAAGTAGTCTTCTAATAAATAGCCATGTCTTCAATACTCCCTCTGGACAGAAAAATTGAAATTAGCTTAGAAATAAATGTAAATTGGATCCCCAAGCTAATTTGGCTGTACAGATGTAGAGACTGCAGGCATTGCGTGATCTCAGTTTTACAGACAGATTGTCAACTTTGACCAGACCGCTTTGTTGCCACCCTGTCTTTTGTTAGTTTTAAGGCTGTTCCAGTAGGATTTTCTTTCTTTAATTATCTTAATCATGTGGATTGAAACAAAAAATTAATTTGTTTTCGGTTTGCTAATTAATATCAAGTTGTTATCAATTATTTGATCTAATTAGTGGAAATCCTTAATGTTACATTGTTTCAAATTATCTATGATTGTGCAGAGAGCACGAGTACGCTGTCATTCTGAAATGGTGGTATAATTTTGTGTAGAACACTCAGTTATATATTCTCTGAACTGGCATTGCCTTGCCCAGTATCTGGGGCAGAGTGTGCTGGATATTTATCTACTACCTCAAAACAAGGTTCTACTACACTGAAATCTGCCAATGGAGGGCAGCTTTAATTTTGTTGTTTGTCAAATATCACTGAAAAAGGGAAAACATAGTGCTTCAAGTCAGAAGCAACACAGCTTGTGCTTTCATTTGGCAGGGTTGAGAATTGAGCTCCCTGTATTTTTAATACAAAATCACAAATAGTGTTCCTGACTATTTCAGTGAAATACTGGAATGCTTAATGTGGGGAAAAAAAAAAAAAAATCCTCTCTTCTTGCTTACACTCCTAAAAAGCATCTTAAAAAAAATGATCCAGTGGTAGTTCTGTGCCTAGTAGTACTAATGACACTTTTATATATCTGTCCCTTAGATGGGCGCCTGCTCTTTGTTACACCGATGGACCCCTTATTTCTGATACTTTATTACCTCATAAAGGCGGACAAAGAGGTAAGCCTGCTTATTTTTTTCATTGATATTCTCAGGAGGAAACATTATTTCTGTTATTGCATTAATTTTATGAAGAGGGACTTCCGTACTGTGGGAAATATAGTTTGCATTTAAAGCAGAGATGTTCATCCCATATGTATCTTTGTTTTCATCCTTTTTATTTTTGTGACCAATAAAGTATATTCCATGAATCAGCTTGGAACCTGAACAAAATGTAAACCCCCTCTTTGTAAGAGAAGCAGAGAATCTTTTGTCCTTTTGCGAGAGCCTATCCCAGAACAGTTGAATTTAAAATGGTAGATGTCATCATCATAAAACAAACCGGTGCCCATCCTGAGGAGTGGGTGATTCACTTTGAGAAAGAGAGGAAAAAAGAAAGATGAATTTGGATGCTACGGAAGAGAAACTTTTATGTTGTGGTTTGAACTTGAAAGGAAACATTGGCTTTTCAGAAATAGTGTTTGTAGAGATGGTGTATTGCTGAACAGCAAAGGGGTTAACAACTACCCAAAAGATGGATAATACGTTAATGGGTTAATCAATTTATTGTGGGCATTGCAAAAGCTTACTTAAATTTCGTAAGTATATCAAAAGACATAGACAATATTTTTGCTTTACAGTTTATTATCTGCCTTTGAAGAAATGACAAAATAAAAACATGAATCCATATTTTTTATTTCATGGAGGCACTGATTTTGTTTCATGCATCCAAAGAGGTTTTTCTTCCATTAAGGTGGCTTGCTGTTTTTCTGCTTTGGGTTACAAGTAGAGAATGCAGAAAAACTCTTCTTCTGAACTGAAGAAATAAAGTTCCACTAGACATTTGTATTAGTAACCTATTGTTCTGTAATTGTTTCTCAATTATTTATGGTGTAGGATATACCAAGATATTCAGTTTTTCTGTGATCTGTTCTGCTTCAGGGTGGCCCATTGCAAGTCTCTTTACAGTCATAGTATTTTCCTTTCTCTAGGTTTGAATTCAGCATCCCTTTGAAGACTTTATATCAAACTTAATTAGAGAATCAGTGTATTTCTGTCTGTGATAAGTGCTAAGGTAAATTGAATAAAGGATGACCTTTCCTATGCACAGAAACTGCAGCAATAGTCCTGTACTGCCCTTTTCTTCTTAGGTATGTTGTTTCCTAAGTGTGACATGGTTCCAGATAAGTGTGTAGAGCTGTTACGGGTTACTCATTAAAGGCAAATGCATACCTGCAGTGTCCTGCCTAAATTAATTTACTCTTGAGTAAAGGGGAAGTCTTGAGGCCTGTGTGGCAGATACTTCATGCAAAGCCAGCTTGAATGTGGCAGATTTATTTTCTGGCTTGAACTAGTAAGTGTTAAGATACTCACTGAGTTCTGTAGAGTTATTATTTGTACCATCCTTTCATTTTGAAAGTACAGTCCAGGGTTGCTGAAGTCTCTCTGAGCAGAGCCATCTCCTGTCCAGTAGACCTTAGCTTAGGCTCTGTGTTGCTTCACAAGGTGAATGTAGCTGTCTTGCTTCTGGACACAAGCTGGCTTGTGCATGTAAGTTATCCACAGGAAGCTGTTTATTTCAGCTTTGTTTTTGCCTCTCATAACGTTTTGCCATTGTAATTGTGCCTTTTTAATTGGAAAAAATAAAAATGCATTCTTTTTTTAATCTTACTATACGATATATGGTTATTTTTATTAAGGCTCTGTCTGCCTAATAAGAGGATTAATTAATAACAAAAGTGTTTTACCCAAGTGCTTTCTTTTTTTTTTGTCCTAACCGATGTAATGATTTCAGCTTTGGCTCCTGACACCGTGCACTCCCAAAGGATGGAGAGTTCACTAAGTCTTTGTACTGATGCGCTGAAGGATCTTTCCAAGGGGAAGGCTGCCAGTTGTGCCAAACTGTGCTGAGTGATTATGCATTGTTTGGCAACAGCAAGATTTGTTTGATGATTCTGTCATATGTAGGGCTATTTAAGTGCTGCCAAAATCACTTTATATGCATACTGTGGCCAAACTGAAATTGACTTTGCAGAGGTGAAAGGTTAATACTATGTTCCAGAAGTATGCCCTGCTCCTTTGAGATTTATCTTTATGGAGGGAAAAGCAAAATTTGAATGGGAGTTATGACGCTGGATTTAATCCAACAGGTTTTGGTCTCAGACACTATTGGCACACATAGACTACTATGTCTTACGTCATCTTCCAAAAAATTTTTGCTGTACTTCATATTAGCTTATCCCACGTAGTTTTAAATTTGTATTCTTATGTGCAGTCGTTGAATAGTTCTGCATTTAGGAGATATTTGCTGGTTTGAAATAAATATTTATAGTTTACTTTGTAATCAGTTTCTAAATGTCATGTGGTACCATTCAAAGTAAATCTTCTTTAAGTCCTTTATTTTAAAGCTGTGGCAACTGCATGCATCTGCATTTCTATATGTGCATATGTGTGTATGTCTTAACAATATAATAATGCTTTTATTGTCCCTTTGATGTATTTTCAGCAGCAAGGAAAGTTCCAGCCACTGGATCAAGTTGTGCTAGATTCAGAGTACCCATATTGTCCTTTGCTGCTGAAGTGTGAAGGAGTCAAACGATCCATATGTCATATAACAGAAGAAAAAGGTAAAAAAAAAAAAAGTGCAGGGGAGGGTGTGGGAAAAGGCTGGGTTTATCTGTGCTTTCATTACAATATAGATTTCAGTACTGTATTTTGCTTTCCAAACAAATCAAGGTATGCAAGATGAGGCTGTACTTTCAAAGCAGAAGTTTAGGCTTAGAAGTCATTGTTGCAGTATCGTGAATCAGGTGTAATGCTGTTACTGAAACGGTTGTGCAGTCTTCCTGCAAAGTGACATAAAAATGAAGAACTCATCAGAGCTGGCTTCCTAGACGTTCCTGTCCTCCACTAACAAGTAATATGCCAAACTTCTTTGTCGTTGCATAAAACATCATTATGGCTGTGAGCTTTTCCTGAAGGATTTAGATGCACAAGCTCAAGTATTTCCTGTATACTGTGATATATAGAGAGAGAGTTAACATGGAGCTCTTACTTCTCTAAAAGAATCAGTTTGAACTTTGTGGCAGGACTGGTTTCAGTTGAAATGATAACCAGACAGCAGAAAATCTAGGCAGTGCCATAGTATGTTTTGCTGGGACTGAGGTAGTTGGAATTATGTACTGTCCTGGATTTTCAAAAGAAACTGAGTAATGCATTAACTTGCATTTGGTATTGGTGGGAGTAGTCAACACTTTTCGTAGGATGAGTTGTGATTTTTGAGAAGACTTCCTTAACACGGGTGCATCTGAACTACAGAACTTCTTTTTTTCTTCCCAGAGTGATAAATGCTTCCGATAGAAATTAGCATTAAACTTTTAGGCATTTTCTGTCCCCTGCAGCTTATCTAATGCTGACTAAGGTGCTGTGAGTGAGAGAGAAGATAGTAAAATTCTGCCCACCCGTCTGGGAAGGTGAAAAATGCTGTCAAATTTTCTTGACTGTCAAACTAGAGCTCTGCATAGGAATATAGGGCAAGGTGAAATCATTTTTCTGAAATGCCACTTCCCCCAAGCAAGGGTACTGTGTTTGTTCGGGCAGCATTTGTTTTCTTTTTAACAGCAAAAGAATGTATATGTATATTTAAAGTATTTGCCATAGACACATAAGATGTGGGACTTGTTCTTAGAATTTCTTTAATTTCTTAGAATGCTAAAGTTGTGATTATGCAATAGACACATTAGGGCTTGCCCACTTGTCGTGCACGAGATCACCTTTTTGTGCAATCCCCCTCTATGTGTTTCATTTTCACATCTTTTACTGCTTGTAAAAAATACCAATATTATGACTAATATACTCTTTTCCAGTGCTAGGACTTGTCCCCTACATAGCCTTTCTTATTTAAGGAGTTGGGCTTTAGGGTAAGAAGTATCTGTCATGTTCTGTCTTCTGCAACTCTGTTCTGTTTGGCAGAAGCTAACAACATAATTATTTCACTTTCAATTTAATTTAAAGGCTCTTAACATCTGTATAACAAGCTCTTACCCTAGAGCAATCACAGTTTACACTTAATGAGTTAGTAGAAAGTCCACCTTCCCTGGCCTCACTGTCAAAGGGCACTGAAAATTCATTTTGCTGGATTAAATTCCCATTTACCTGCTTCAGTAGTTGGGGAAAAGAGTGTGTTACAGCTCACTAAGCCTGGGTTGGGCAGGTTGTTTGCTAATAAATTCAAACATTGGATAAAGTGTATGACAGAGAAGGTTGGAGAAAAGGTTATGAACTCCAGTGCCAAAGTGTTACTCTTTGTTTCATTTTGCAAGGCAAAAACTGCGCTGTGATCTTGTCTGATGTGATTAACATGAAGAGCCAAGAGAACTTACCTGATTAGAATAACTAAGTAATATTGCCAAGCTTATATTCCCAGAAGGTAGGAAAAAGGGGCCATATGAGTTTCTGAGTTATGGAAAACACTGAGAAAATGGATGTTAAAATGTGCTTTAGGCAGTTTGCTCAACAATACATCGGGGAAACTTCCAAGTCTACATAGCGATTACCCGATCGCTGAACATATTATTTAATTGTAGAACCACTTATATTCCATCTGTATTTCTCAAACCCAATCTTTCCAGATGTCTCAGACCAGTTTTATAGGCACCAGACACATTAGGGGGAAAAAAAGCTTTCCAATATATACTCATATTATCAAACATAGTCGCTAACTCTCACCAATATCAAATGTGCATCACATGTTAAATCCACGTTCCAATATTGAATCCTTTTGTCAGCAGTTTGTGACTTTCATAACTCACTTTAATTCTTCAGAGGTCTCAGATACTGTCAGTTCTAGAGTTTAATAGTCAAAACTGTCAAGCACACAAAATATTTTCAAACAAAGTGATCTCTGAAGGATTCAGCATAATTATTTTTCACATGTTTTAATGAAAATGGCTTCACAGTTCTACGTTTCCTTTCCCTAACTGAGTCACTCTGAATCATACTGTTGTGGGGGAGTCTGCCTGGGAATCCAGACTGGAATTACTTTTCAGCGTGGGTTGGGGGATGGTGGCAGGAGGACGTCCCTTCCTCGAACTTTTTCAGATAAGAGAGGAATCCATAATCGTACTCACTGTACTTGGACCCAAACCATGTTAGCTCTTTGAGAAGCAGGTTCAAGAATCCAGAGTGTCTCCCCCATTTTCTGCTTCTCTTTCAATCTTGTAAGTCACTGCAGCCAGCAATGTCACACCTAATTACTTTATCTGCGACTCATCAACTTCATGAAGCAAAGTGTATATTAGCCCTTTTTTCCTTCTTACTCAGAAAAAATTGTGTTTTACTCTTCTACAGCTAGCGAGATGGATTTAAACTTTATCTTGAAGACAGCTTTCCCTGACCTCTCTGTACCCCCTACCATGCATACATAAAGAGTGCATAATAGTTAGATATTTGTATGCAGTTTGAAGGAGCCAAGATAAACCCCAAAGAAGGAAATGCTGAAACAATCATAAATAATATGTTGTTGTTTGCAAGGGGAAAAGGAAACTCCATGAACCGAGTGTTGAAATATGATAGTGAGTCAATAAATGACATGAAACAGATGTATGTATTTATGGGAATGGTATAGAGGAGATTAAAAGCTATTGAAATACCTGCTAAAGAACAAGCTTCAAACATTGCGGACTCTAAAATCTCCTGTGTAATCTGATTAGGCATTCTTTTCCATTTCTAAACTGAAGCTCTGTGAAGTAATAATAATTTTTATCCTAAAATTTCGACTAGCCCATGTAATTTTCTCTTTTTTTTTCTCCTTTACCTCAGCATCCTGAATTCACATATTTGCAGCTAACTGATCACACATGGATAGTGAAGTGTTTGTGGTACCCTAGTTGTCACGGGGGATAAAGTTTCTGAAATTCTTATATCATCAAGTTAATTTATGCTGCACAATAAATCAAAAATGAATCTTGTACTTCCTCCCACTAGGAGTATGCTTCACTGTTTTAATTCTATTTTCTTCTGACACTGTATTATGTCACATAAAAAGGGAATAGAGGTAAAACTTCAGTTAGAGTTGCCTTGTGAAGTAAAAGGAGAGGGAGTTATAGGAAAAGGGATTATTGAAAGGACAGATAGTTTATCTTCCTAACCAACCCTCTCTCCTGGCCCCTTACTAATTGCTGGAATTCATAAATTATTGGTTTAACATACTGTGTGTAGTGGGGTTTGGTGTGGTTTTGTGGGATTTTTTTTTTAATTTTGTTTTGTTTTTGTTTTAAAGCAGTCATAGAAACAATATTTTATGTTGCAAACTGTGCAATTAAAATGACCATTCCAGCAATGCAGGGCAGTGAAAATTTGGCAAACAAGAGGGCTTGAGAAAAGTCTTACTGAATTCAGGCAGCAAGAGATTACACATATATAAATAAAATATGTACTTTGCTGGACTGGAGCCTAATTAAGGATTGTTAGGTTGTTCAGACTCATATCAGTTCAGTCTGTTTATTTTTTCATGTTTCCAGTATTTTTGAAACTTTTTGTCCTGATATCAAACATGTGCAAGTTGCAAATTAACTTTCATACTCTGTCTACAACTCTGAAGATTCTAAGCGTATTGAAAATGCAGTCCATACCAGTTGTGACTTTCTTCCCCTTATTTGGTTTTATCTCAGAGATTGGCAGTCAGAAATTTCACAAGTACAGCCAAGAGAAAACATTGAAGTGGTTAAAGAAAAAGGTATTGTGTTTCTCTTTTACTTTCAGAATTACTTTATGTTTAAAATCCAAGTGCGTATCGGCTTGTTCATATCTGTGCTTTGAGCCATGTGGCATCCCTCAATTGAATCTAGGGGAAAGGTACTTTGCAGCGAATGCCTGAGTTTTTATGTCCAAGCAGTACCTGTTAGTGTTGTTGAAAACTTCTTTGTCTGACAGTGTTCTGTGTTAGATACGGTGTAACAGCGCTCGGTAATCCATCTTTGCAGTTCATCTGAGCTCAGGGATTCTCTGTTCTCCTAGCAGGTATATTTCTCACCTGTATAATGGTGGCAGTTCCTTCTGAATAGCTCTGCTCATCTCAGGGTGCTGCAAAATTGGTGCTGTGTTACCAAGGCAACGTGCTCAAAAACGTGCTAGCTTCTTTGCGTTTTTGAGCTCATATGCTAGTCATTACAAATGTATATTAAATTTCACCACAGTCCATAACTTGAGTGTTTTATATGCTTGAAACAAAATTACAAGAGCTTTGTCACTGCATTAACTTGTGCATAACAACACTGATATAGACATTTCATTCTGTGGTTTCCTATAGGTCAATCAAACAGTGAAAGCACTTAAAAGCAACAATATATGTGTAGGTGAAAGGATATATTCAGCTACATTTGTCAGCGGTAAACAAATCACTGATGCTGAAGAAGGTAAGGAAACTAACCATTTAAGCACTGTAATAAATTCAGTTTTTGTGAAGTTGCGTGCCTGTAGTTAAAACACAGCATCTGAAACGTACTTAAAGTGTACTAAAGTCTGCAGTGAGTGTATTCCTTACACAGAAAGATTCAGACAGATTGTGACTGAGTCTCTTGACTTTTCTGAGGTGGTATCTTCATCGAGGCCATTGCATTTAACTGTAGGTCTCAGCTGGATTGTTTTTGCTTCTTAACCTGCAGAAAAGTTGTTTTCTCATTGGAATATACGCTGAAGTGTTTTGCGGAACTGAGACCATCTTGTGTAATAGGGCACATGCATTTAATGTGTGTGAGTATCCACACAATAAAAGTCTATACTAAAAAAGACTATTTTTATTAGCATGCAAATGCTGTTTATGATTGTCCTTAAAGGAAAGGGATCATAAGAAAGACATAGTCAAAGAGGAAGATTAGGTGTAGAATACTCACAAGTGCACTTATTCAGGGCAAAAACTTCAATACTATATATATTAAATATCTCTGAAAGTGGATGTGTCTGTACCAGAAGGCCTGAAGTGGTCCTGTTTGATTCTAATCACCTTTATTTGCTGGTGAGGGCTGCGTCCTGATTGTCACTTACATATGAAGTTGTGTAGGCAAACCTAAAAATGACCTGGGAAATAAGTTGTTTGAAAGTTAATGAAAATTTAAAAAGGTTTCAAACAAAATGAACAAAATCAAATTGTTTCTGATTACTACTGAGACATTCAGAAGTCTTCATGCCACTGAAAAATAAGGAAAAACAAAGCAATTTGGTGACAAAGTGGAAAAGGAGTTACCAAGTAATGATATCAAAGGAAACAGCATGAATGAGATTTAAGAGGCAGCTAGACAGTTTTATAGAACAGAGATTGTAATACATGGTTTTTAAAAAGAGGCAGTGCTGTAAAACTTGTAAGTTACTTTAACTTCACAGTAGCTTTTATTTTTTTTCCTACCTCTACTTTAATGAAATGGAAAGCTGTCCTGTCCTGACAGTGACAATCTTGACAATACCTAAATACTTTATCTCTGCAATTTGTTACCAAACTGCTAATCTGCACTGTTTTTTCCACCTTCCTGCTTGCTTATGGAAGCATGCATATACTTGCCTTTTTAGATTTGTAGATCTAAACGAGCAGCAGTTAAGTTGGGAATACTGAAGGTTAAAAATAGGTAAGTTTTGGGGGAAGTTCCACTGTATGTAGCAAGATGAATGACAGGAAGTCAAACAAGACCTTACTCAACACTTATTTTTAATAAGCATCATTTTCTTGCCTGATCTTTCACTGTCTTGACAGTGCAATTTATATCTGTAGAGAATTACTTGTGTAGGAGTACTGTGAAATTTCAGTACGTTACTAATAGATTAATATTATAGTTAGCTTTTACACATGTCATAGGGCAAAAACCTAGATGTACGTAATAAGTGCGAGGAGGAAAGGAGGCAAAATTTAAGATGTGAAACTTTAGTATTTCATTGGGAAGACAAAGAAGGTAGGTGCACAGATATTCCTGGTGTTTGACAGGTTAGTAATGAATCAAGACTACGTTCCAGTACCTGGAAGGCAAACAGTGATTGGGGTCAAGTGAAACTTCAGCTAGTTTGCTAATGACATCTAGCTGAGTGGTGCAGTTGATAACGGCAGAAGGAAGGGGTGCCATCCAAAGACACCTTGATAAATTCTAAAAGTGGGCCCGTGTGTAGGTAATAAGGTTCAACAAAGCAGAGTACAAGGTTTTGCATTTAGTTTGGGGTAATCCCAGGTATGTATACAGACTGGGAGAATAAACTCCTTGAGAATAGCCCTGCTGGGAAAGATTTAGGAGTCTTGGTAGATGAAGAACTTAATGTGACCCAGCAGTGTGCACTTGCAACCCTGAATGCCAACAACATCCTAGGCTGCATCAGAAGAGGGGTGGCCAGCAAGATGAGGGAAGTATTTGTCCCTCTCCACTCTGCCCTCATGAGGCCCCATCTGAAGTACTGCATCCGGGTCTGGGACTGACAGTACAGGAGGGATGTAGAGCTGTTGGAGTGTATCCAGAGGAGGGCCATGAAGACAGTCAGAGGTCTGGAGCACCTCCCCGATGAAGACAGGCTGAAGGAGCTAGGCTTGTTCAGTCTGATGAAGAGAAGGCTGTGAGGAGACCTCAATATGTTTTTAATGGGAGGTTATAAACAGGAGGGAAATCGACTTGTTACGTGGGTAGATAGTGACAGGATAAAGGGAATGGTTTTAAACTAAGAGAGGGAAGATTTAGGTTAGATTTCAGGGTGAAGTTTTTCATTGAGAGGGTGGTGAGGTGCTGGAACAGGTAACCCAGAGAAATTGTGGATTCCCCATCCCTGGTGATATTCAAGGCCAGGTTGGATGGGGCCCTGGGCAACCTGATCTGTTCCTTGATCTTGCGGTTGGTAACTCGGCCTGTGGCACAGAGGTTAGAACTTGATGATCCTTGAAGTCCCTTCTAACCCAAGCCATTCTTTTAATCTAAAGGAAGTCAGTGAAGATTGCTTGAAGGCAGAAATACATTTTCAATTTTATATTTGGCTATAATTAGTAAGTAGTTGACTTGTCCTTGCCATTCAGTCTTACATTGCTGAGAGTGAAATGATTGGAATAATTTTCTTAGGAGATAAATTGTGCATATTAAATAAAGAAGTGAAGTTGTCTTGGATTGGAATTGTTTTTTCTTCTCTCCTGACCTCCTGACCCTGTAAAAAAAACTTAGGGAGTGACAAAGACTTGATGAATAAAGGCAGTGGAGGAAGAAGTGCAGACAGAAGATTCTGTGAATTTGATGACGGTCTGATTGAAATGCATATGTTGATGTCAGTTTGTTAATGCTCTCAGCTTCAATGCCAATTTGTACTGGGCTTTTTTGATTTAAAAAAAAAAAAAAAGAAACTCTCTCTCACACCTTAAAAATAGTCCTTTACCACTGAGGCAAGTTTACCATGCGCTTCTGAACTCTCTCAAGTGTGTCATATGAGCAGATAGAACTGGCGTACTGTATGTGGAATTCAGAGGTGAGATTTTAGTTTAATGTCTCTCTGGCAAATGCTTCCTGTGTGGATAAAGTTACTCCCTAGCAGCCTCGACAACAGTAAGTTTTAGAAGATCCAGCCCATGATCAGTCAGTGCTAGTGTAGAACGTGACTGGAAAAGGTCTGGTTTAGAACTTCATGTTTTAAGAGAGTCACCTTTTTTTTTTTTTTTTCCTTTCTCTCAGAAAGACGTTTATAGCAGGAGTGCCCTGTACTGAGAACAGCTTCTAGTAGTTCTTATTTCCACAGATAATTATCCTGTCTTGCCAGCGACGTTTAGATAGGCCTTGGCATTTTCCATAAAGTACTGAAATTAAGTACAAGACTTTGAAATAGACTCATTGTCTCATCTAATTGTTTTCAGTTGAAGCCAGAAAATGTACTTTAGTACTGAAGCGCTTGCCAAATAATTGTAAGATCCAGATGCTTTAAAATTAATGATTGCATGTTCTGTTGAGTCAGCTTTTTACTTTTGCAGGTTTTTAAAATTTAATTTCTTCGGAAAAATACATGATATCTGGTGTTCTCTGAAAGTGAACAGTTTTTGTTAAGTACATACAGCAGATATTAATAACATGTGCTGACAAAGTGAGTGTAGTAAGTCTTTACTTTTTAAATAAACCTACAAGTGTCATGTAACATAAACTACTCAACACAGAGAACCATCACAGTGTATCCATTAGAAGTCTCTTACTGTTAGTTCAAGCTTATGATTTATGGTAGTGCATACATCATGACTAAGGCAGCATGACTATATATAATGTGAATGCTCTTTTTTTTTCTTCTCTTTTCTTTTCTCTGCCCTGTTGCTGAAGACTATGTGCGGTATGCTCATGGGTTAATATCAGAATATATTACTGAAGAGCTAAGCAAGGAGCTGTCAAAATACCTAGGGTAAGCATTGTTTCAGCTAGCTGCTAGCCACATGTGGCATATATTAATGTCCTTTTGGTCATTTCTATTGAATATTTATATCTGATCATCAAAATTACAGTGAATAACACAATCCTACCCCTTCACATTCTGTTTAAATTTGATATTTTCAAATGTATGTTGTGCCCTTCTATGATACTAAGGACGTGGGCTGGAGGAGAGATGTAATAATATCTAAATCTCCTAAACGTCTTTTATCACAATTGCATCTGAAATGCTCAAGCAATTTATGCAATTCTAGAGGGGAATAAAAGGAAATCCAAAGAGTTAAAGCACTGTGTCCGTAATTGTGGAGCATGAATAACGCTGCCTGGAAATACAGTCCTCATCCCCAGTGCTCTTTCCTTTTTCCTAATCACTCAGTGCTGCTGGGATTTGAGTCCACATATCTAGCCTGTGCTAACTTACACTTCTTATCTATTCTTATCAGGTGAGTCAGTGTCCTCATACTGTGTTCTTAACCAGCAGCAGTTTGCTTGGAGCGTGTCTGGGACTCTGCGTTTTCCCCTCCATTCAGATTTGCTTAATGCATTCTCTTATTGTGGCCTATAGAAAAAATGTGCAGTTCATACCTCAGAGGCCCCATATGTTAACTTTGTTATAGTTATGTGTTAGTGCTGCTATTGTGTTATGTACTTTATGATATCATCTTACCAAAAAAACCAAAGTTTTCAAAGGTAAGGTGGGAGTCTCCTGTTTTGGCTGCCCAGACTAAGAAATTTTAAGAGCCCATGTTTCTGGCTCTGTTTTAGTTACTTAAGGGTCCGTGAGCCATTTTTTGTAAACACATGCCATGTGTGAGCAACTGACACACAAAGCAGCCACTGCTGGGGAGGAGTTAAACTTTAGGTTGTGCCATCCAGCTGTCTAAATTTTTAATGTGAAGTCTTTTTGTTCTGCAGTCTTCCAGAGCATACAGTCCCAGCACCAGAGCCACCGTTGAAGGTAAGAAAGATATTGACAGATATAGTCTGTTGTAAGCTAATCTCTCTGAATTGTTATTAAAACTGAATTAAGCCAAGCACTGGGTACAATACAATATGTAAAGTAAATTGGCCTTGTAAAAATTCAGTCTGAAATAACACAAGAACATTATCATGTACTTTTATCTTTTATGTTAAGCAATATTTTGGTTGGTTTTCCAATTGGAAAAAAAAAAAAAGGGAGGGGAGGGAGGTGAAGAGAGAGACTTATTTTATAGTTTTGGTCAGCAATCTTTTCTTATGTGTTTTGCTCATTTAGTTTTATTGAGGTTGGTGGGACAATATGACCTCATAGGTTTCCTTTTGTATGTAATTTATGAGGACCCTGAAAGGGACCTCCTGGGTCACAGATTCCCAGACAACCATGTTGGGTAATCTCTTGTACACTGACCGTTCTCCACTGTAGGATTCATTAGGATTTTTATTTCCATTACTTCTCTTGGAATTCTGTTCTATAACCTCATTCCTCTGATGCTCAGAAACCTTCCTGTAAATTCCACCTTGAATTTATTCATAGCCAATTTATTCCTCTGTGGTTTTGTGCTAACATTATTGTGTTCATTTTTTCGTTGAAATGGTTCTTTTCCCTCCATAACCATTAGTTCCCTCTGTGTGTAAAGGGAAAATGCATATCCTTTCTCTTTTCATTTTGTAAATCTAAGCTTGAATTGTGGAAGATGGGTTCTCCATTTTCTCATAATTGTAGTCACATTTCTTTGCACCTGTTCCAAGATTGCTTGAAGACAGGTGACCAAAGTAATATAATTTTTCATGATAACATCTTTATCAATGCAACGCGGTGGCATTAATCCGTTCTGGTCTTAACTGGAAGTACTGTCTCTCATCATATTTTAGAATCCCATTTGCCACTCTTACTGTGTGATGTGGCAGGTATGCTGCAAACAGTTAAGACACGCAGGTCTTTTTTTCTCTCCAATGCAACCCTTAGTGAATCAGCATTCAGTTTATACCTGAAATTCATACAGCCAGCTGGTAGGTAGGTACGTGACCTTGTATTTCTGGACATTTCATCCATGTATAACATTTCAAGACTTGAAGGATCTTTGGCTTTTCCTTCACAGTGTTGCAAGCTCTTTAGGTAGCCATAATGGTACCCTGTGGTGTACATTCAGTAAATGTTAGCATGCTTTTATCTTTAACAATGATCATTTTGAGTATATATTGTACATGGCACTCCATTGGTAATATTCACCAATCCCTGTGGGATCCCCTTCTGCATTATTTGCCTTTGTTTCCCTTTCACACAGATTCTTACCTACCCTAAAATCCTCATGTAATCTTAATTTTATATCATTTCAGTTACCTCAGGGGTCAAATCCTCTGGCAATCTCTTATGTTTATTGTCACCAGAAAATGTATTATCTTTGTGGAGGAGAAAAAAAAAGGCCATGTCAGTAGGCATTACCCACATTTAGTTTTTATTTAGTCTGTGTCTTTAATTGTTCTTCCTTTTTTCACTTTTTCCCCTTTTCTACTCTTCTGAGTCCTATTATTACTACTTTTCTTCTCTAACGTACGATGGATATTTTGCTGTTCTGTAGAATATAGCCCCTATCCAGTAGAATAGTTGCCAGGGTTTACTTCTGGACTTGTGATTTTTGAAGCATTCTCCCAACAGTGTCAGTGTATTTTTACTTCTGTCCTGAACAGAGAGATTTATTTTTTTCTGCTCATGTTTAACCTCTTCATCTTCTTTGAAAACAAAGAGGCGAAGGATTTAACCTGTTTTAGGGTTAGACATAGATTAGTTTTAATATCTATTCATGTGTAGCAGCCATGCTTTTTTGATTGCATTTTTGCTTCTGCGGCTAAAACACCTTTTGCTGTTTGTTTTAATTTCCATCCCAATGCCTAACTCGGCTTGACTTTTTGGCAGTTCTCACTTTATCCCTGTATTACCTGACCCTAAAACAAACGTGTTTTTTTTCTTGTTTGTTTTTTTTTTCCCATTTGTTGTAGAATTTTGCTTACTCCCAATATCTTTTAATTTGAGGAGGGTGGGGAAATGTGTGCATCTGTTCAAGTGTTTGTAGGGGCAATATTCATTTGGTTTAGTCTGACAAACTCTTTTCTTCAGGATTTATCACTTTGAGGTTGAACATCCAAAATCACTTCATCTTTTTCTTTTGCATTCAAAATGTCTTCCTCACATATCAAGCCTTCTGCTTTGGCTTTGAGAAATAGCACAGATGATTTGCACAGCTTGCCTTTCTGGAATCCTAAGCCCCACTTTTGAGTTTCTTTGTCATTTAATATACATGTACTCTGTATGCTGAATATTCTGTATTCTAAAACTAGATTTCTTACTGCAGTGACCTTTCCTGCAAAGTCCCTGCTACTTACTGAAACAATGTCTAAAATAACTTTGTTTCTGGCTGGTTCAATGACTGTTTTGCTAAGCAGTATGTCAGCTAGCACATGTAGGAATAATTGGGCCCTAATGTTATTAATAGCATTTGTTCTCCAATGTATATCTGTGGATAGAAGTTATTTCCATGTGGTTGGACAGTTGTTCTGGCTGCACAGTTACTTGGCCCTTTGATTCTGTTAAGAATTATCTTTACACATTGTAAGAAATATTAAGCACACATCATGAGCCAACTGATATTCATTAGCTGTGTAAGGATGTATAAGATGTTACAACAACTATATTAAACTGCACATGATGTACATTACATATTGTGTATGAACAGCTTTTATTCCATTGGGATAGTTCTTAGAATCTATTTTTAAAAACTGTTGTATTTCAGCAGTTGGGTTACAGAGGAAATGAGGCTTAGAACTATTCAGTTGTTGGGCAGTGAAATCTTGCTGAAGATCCCATGAATTTCCAGAGCAGGATTTGCATGATGCATCTATCTTTGCAACTTAAGGAGCTTAAAATTCTCCTTTATTTCACAACCTCAGAGGAGTGTGACTTGTACGCTGAAATCGTTAGTGCATTTTTGACCATTTTTACTTGCACTGAAATTTTTCCTTGTGAGGGCAAGGTGTCTTGGCAGTCATAGTATACAATTACTGCAAATAAAGTAGAGTATAGCATGTATTTTCTAGTATAGTAAAGTAGTTGCACATTTGGAAATGCTGTTAAGATAAATTAGCAAGGAAGGAGAAATTTAGAAGCTTCTATGCTTGACAGAAGAAGCTATGGCAGATTCTGTCTCTTTTAGTACCAAAGTAAGCTGGATGCAGTCTGGACATTGTGATTTAATGATTAAATCAAAATTATTTGTAATCTGTATTGTAATCAAGAGTGTGCCATTGATCTTGTGTTGTAATCTTCATACTATCCAGTTTGTCAGCACAGGGAGTCTGGCCATTGGCTGTAGATAAGACAGCTTACAAAAAGAATGTGTATGCTCTACTACAGCTGAAGAGCAAATCCTTTGCTGAAATGCAAACATTTTATTAAAGTTTTAAACATTTGTTTATCAGATTCCAAAAAGAGGAGAATAGTCGTTATTCATTAGATTGTCATTTGAAAATGTAATCACAGCTCAGTAAACAGCCTCCCAGAGAGTCTGATCCAGATACCGTTGAAATCAAAAGAGAAGGCTGCTGTTGGATCTGGTTCTAAGAGCTGAGAAATCTAAGCTGCAGACCTGGTTTCAGTGCCAGAGAGAGAGAAAGCAGGGTGGGGAGTGGGGATCACAAGCTCTGTAAACAAAATGAATAAAACAGGATCTTAAAATGGTACGGTACCATCCAAGTTGCTTGCAAAATCACTCTCCTTGGCACAGAAACTAGGAAGGCCATAGCTTAGATTTCACAGGATATTAAGGACAGGGTAGTAATATCAGATATATAATAATAATAAAAATAGGACATTGTAAAATATATACAGTTTTTTCCCCTTTTGGAAGCATACCAGAAAGTTTTCACCTTTAAACTAAGCACATACTTACAGTTTGTGGAAAGAAATACTCATTCTTACAGCCTGATCATGTGAAGTTCTGAGAACCCTTAAGTCCTATTATTTCTGAAGCTAAAAGGCACTCAACGCATGCGAAGTCAAACTTCTCAATATACTGCTGGATTCAAATGATGAAACAGTCAGCAGAACTGTATGTCAGTGTTTCATTTTTTGCCAAACTGTAAGAACTAATTAATTTTAGAGGTTGTGCACAAACAGATAAGAGACTAGAAAGTGATCCACCTGTGCTGGCAGATAGCAATAATACTGGCTGGAGTGGCTGGTCCTTTACAGTTCTGTGAGATTGACAAGAATCTGAGTTCACTGGCTGTTAGACACTGGCTTCCAACAGCTGCTCCATAAAGGTTCTCTAAATATTTAGAGTCTGACACCACAGATAAAATCATGGAAATTAGAAACTGGATTGAAGTCATTTCTGTAAGTCATTCTTCAGAGGATGGGAAGAAATAATAGTTCTTACGACAGTGAATGATATATTCTCATTACTGTAGAGACTGCATATATGTAAAGAAGACAATTACAAAAAGAAATCTTCAACTTTTACTGCACATTCCTCTGTTCATTGCCAGTCCTGTTTTGGTGCTATGGTTACGTTACAAAGCCAAAGCTTTGTAACTACCATGTGTGTACATCATAAAAGTGGTTGACAGGGCAACTTCCTCACTCTAACATTTCAGAAAAGGAAGTTATCAGATGTCCCTGTGGAAGCAGAAGAAGACTATACTAAGTTTAACAGCAGTAATCTGAAAAACAAAAAGGTAAGTAAGCCTTGCATTCGTGCATGTTCTGTTAAAGCATAGCTTAAAGCTCAGTATTAGCACAGAGCTCCTTTTTGTCAACTCCAAAACACATTAAAAGAAAAAAATGAGAAAAAAAAGCCTAATGTCAGACGTATGCAGCTGCATCATCATCAGCTTTCAGGCATAACTTGACTCAGGTCTTCTGTTCCACACTGAACTCTTCTAAACTGTTATTTGTTTATTATTTATAACTGTATTTTATCAGTGAACATTCCAGTGAAGCTGTCAGACTTTGACACGTGTTAAGATGCTCAGCTGATGTTTGCAAAGCTCTTTGAAATTAGTACATGATAAATCTTATGGCATAGTGATTACAACTGTTATATTTTGGTTATTTGAAAAAGAGGCAAAGGTGGCAGCATGCACTTAAATTCCAAGGGCTTTGAAGGCAGGTTGTATTTTAACATAGAAATATTGCTTGTGCATTTATTTATGTCAGTTTAGCACAGTTAAATCAACACTGAGCTTGATGTCTTCCAGGTCTTACACAAGTTTGGAGGCCAATTTAAATCTGAGTTTAGTGTTGCTTGCCACTGTACTATTCCTAGGAGAGCAACATAGATGTGAAAAATAGATTGTCTGTGTTTTTGCCAAGCTTGTGAGGCTTGCACTGGGTTGTTTCTTGTAGTATTGAAAGAAGATGAATCCTTCTGTGGTCCAGTGGGAGCTAAAACGTCCCTCAGTGGTGGTTTTGTGACCTTGAGGCCTTAAGGCTGACTATTCTTCATCCTTCTGCAAAGAGAAACAGCTATTGACAGATAAAACCCTTTCTCCCTTCAAATTTTTTCATATTTGGGGCACACACTAGTTTTGAAGTGAGCAGGTTGACCCCAAGTGGAGATGATGACTGGTATAAAATCCACGTTTTCCCCTTTCTCTGTTGTCTACCCGCTGGTTTTGAACTGAGCATAAAGGTAGACTGAGGGGAGATCATTCCTTTTAATGTTAGATACGATAATGAAGCACACTGATGAGAGATTCTGGGAAAGAAAGATTAGCTCTTGGGTTCCATATAGTATAGTATTCCTTTCCTTTTTTAAAGCACTGTTCATGTTTGTACAGCAGTGTGATCATACTGTAGTTGCCTATCTCCATCTTATCCATAACCTTCTAGCTGATCTCAAGTAGTGTAATTATGAAGTCCCACAGTCTGAGAAATATCATAAAGAAAGGACAATGCAAAGTTTTCTTAATAGGGAAAACACCTAGAGATTTAAAAATAACGTTTTTAAAATGTAAGAAAGAAATGAGGTCAGCACTGTCTAAAAATAAATAAATACCTCATAAAATTTGTTTTAGGTGTAGAAGTCTGGGAAGTTGTCCCAGTGGCCTCAAAGTGCTTTGCAAATGTTGGTTACCTTCTTCATTCTCAGTTCTTCCATTTCTTTTCTCTTTATTTCACTGCACGTGAAGAATTTTATAATAGATCAGTGTGAATTATTCATCATCAGTAATGCAAGGCTGTAATTCAGCCTGCTGACAGCATAATCATGAGATTGAGTCGGAGGGTACAGTATGCATCTGTTATATTGCATGCATTATTCCTCTTAATGTACACTCAGGGATTATCCAAAAGTAAACGTTTGAGTTGGGATATCTCATTCTGCAGAAAGGAAAGATGTTTCACCTCCTTTTCCTTGTAATTGATTCTCTGTCTTTGTCTGAGGCTAAGCAATTTATGACAAGTATTTTTCTGATGGAATAATCTCAAATTTGTAAGGTTTTTTTCTCCCTACAATTTAAAGCCTGCATAACACTATCTTAGTAAAAACGTAATTCAACTTCTTACTTGACTTGTATATTTAGGAGCTTGTACTTATACTCCCCTCCTATGGGCATGCTTTTTAACTTGTTCTGTTCCTCATTTCACTCACAGACAAACAGCAAGATGTCTGCAGCTCAGAAGGCTCTGGCCAAAGTTGATAAGAGTGGAATGAAATCCATTTCTTCTTTTTTTAGCTCCAAACCTAAAGCATCAAAATGAACGCTTGTTCTTGAAAAAGTTTTATGTAGTGGTTACTTTTACATTAAGCTATCTTTTGTTTGTTTGCTTGTTTTTTTGTCACTAGTTTATTTGAGACATGTCTGCGTCTGTGGTGGAGTGTGATGAAGGTATCTGTGGGGCTGCTGTTGTCTCAGTATTATGGTGAAATTCCAGCCTGGAATTAGCACATACCATACAGTGCAGCCATATTAATTCGTCTTCTAGGGCAACCTCATTCAAGGTCACCACAGAGTTTTGTCATTGCACTCCATTCTGGCCTGGAGACATGCCCTTTCCTGTGACAAATGTTAAAGGAGAGGATTTTTGTTCATTAGGAAGATTATTTCTTGAAACGCTCTGGAGGTTTTTACTCAGTATAACACCCGAATGGGGTGGCATAATCAGATTTCTATGTTGATGAGAATCTAAGTGCTGAAGTAAGCATCACCGTTAGTGCCAGTTTATCAAGGCAAAGGTTTATTGGGATTTTGGTTTTGAATATGCTGGAAACAATTGTGATAAATTTCAACATCCATGTAATGCAATAAAGTGCTTTATGTAACAGTTTGTGTTTATTGTGCTTGCTGTATGTTTCAGGGGTTGGGTTAGCCGTAAAGACATTCCTTGTGGACTTTTGGTATTTTTCAGTGTGTGAATTGTAATCCTTAATGAATTACAATGTTGCTGTGGACTTCAATGATAAATCTCTTAACACATAGTAATATAGGAATATTTTATGTTTAGTTCCAAGGTGTGTAGGTCCTTATGAAAGTAATTAAGGGAAGATTTACTTGAAGACAGCAGTGTACATTTGAAAAAGCCTATGTGGTGTTGGATGCAAAATTATAAATGTTGAGTATCTTAGATAAGATTTAAGTTTATGAAGACCTGCACATAGTTGGACTATTATTTGAACATATAACTGACTCTTGTATGTATTCTTTCCTCATTATAAGGAATTCCTGTATTGTACAGAGGGATATAGCTATCTACTATGATGCAACCTTTACATTTCACAGAATGAAAAAATGAAGTCACTGGGATTGTTTGTATAGATGTAGCCAGTCCTGCAGAGCTGGAAGAAACCAAGCATTAAGCATTTCATGGGCTGCACCATTACTGTGGTTGAGCTGCAATGCTTTAAAGAGACGGACGATCTTAACATCATTCTTTGCTACTTGAGCTCAGTAGAGAATCTACTTAAATCCCTTGATAATAGGGATTTTTAGAGAAAATGTGACTGCCATTTTCCCATTTCAGACCTACTTGCCTTTTACAGCCCTTGTGCTACAGAGGTATCTGTTAGGTTTAAGAGCTCTGCGGTGTTCTTTTCCGAACAGAAGTGAATGTAAAACTTTGCTGTGCGTTGTATGCTGTTTTGTAGTTGCTGTTGGCATCTGTAGGCCTTCAAAACAGTGTTTTTTCAAAGCTGTGCTTGTGAATAGGCAAATACATGGAATTATCTCTGATTGCAAAGATACTTATTTCACCATTGAGCCTTCTCAATGAAGCTGGAACAAGGAACAAATGTAGAGTTAATTCTCCCACTTTGTCCAAACTGAATCATCTAGGCCAAGAATGACATTCTTTAGAATAAATAAACGATTTTCAGGCATTCTGAAGAATCATTTCTATGTCTTCCTTATTTCTGGAAGACAGTTTGTAGTATTTCTCAGTATACATCCAAACAGCAATGTATGATTCAGATGCAGACACTCCATTGATTTTTAAGCTTAGAGAAATTCCTATTGTACCACACTGCCTTGCTCTTCAGGTGTCTTTAGCAAAGTATCAGCAGCTTTGTCAGTAGAGCTGCCTGTTTTGACAGTAACTATTAGATAAGCTTAAAAAATAATAGTAAGTGCCATTGTGATAATTTTTGATGTATACTACTTCGTGAATTTCCATCTTGCCTTTTTTTTTCTACCTTACTTGTCTGCACTAGAAGTGAAAACAAACCCTGTAGCAGACGTGTTTGTTTATCCAGAGGTTTTTCTTACTGTGAGTTGGAAAGAAAAGCATTCAATGAGCCCAGAATGAGCAACTGCAGTTGTGAACTTGGAAGGGCTGGGTTTTGAAAAGCATTCAACTTAGCCCAGTGGTTTATTTAGAGAATAAAAGATGCCTTCCAAATTGGTATCAGTAGAAAAAAGGATGCACCACTGATGAAGCCTTTTGAAGAACACTAATGAAAGTGCAGGATAGTGTAATGAAAATAGAACAAATGGGCACTTATTGTCATGTTAATGGTGAAGCTTTCTGCAGTAAGCAACGTCTTAAGGATTATGTTTTGGAAAATGAGAGGAAAGAAACTGCATCTCTAAAGAGAGGGCCCATTCTGAGCATTGGAAAATTTTGAGAAAGGAAGCAAGCATGGGATGGGAATTTCAGCGGAAAAACACAAATGGGAGAGATTTACAGAAGAAACAAGCTGTGAAGTGGCAAAGATAGATAATAATATTTTTTATTCTAAATATATAAATCTGCTACATTTTGGTATTTTTTTAAAATAGTTTTGGAAATGCATCAACCTGTTCATTGACTGAACAATTTGAGAACATTTCTTGTAAGAAAAGAATCCTATTTCTCTGTCAGACTTTAGGACAGAAGGGCAGTCCTGATACAGGTGGAAGGCTTTTGTGGACTTCTGATCTGAGCTTTTCTTTTTTTCTTTCTCTGAACATAGCTTTCACATCAATCTCTGCATGTAAGAAATAGTCTTCTGTATGTGCATGTACTGTGCTTTAGTTTGTCACATCTCAACTTCAGCTGACTGCTATACTGTAACTTAGAGCAACTGAGGTTTGATTAGTTACTGTGCCTTTGAGCAGAAATTTGTGCATGACAGAGGAGCCATTACAAGAGCCATTACAGCTTTCATGTGAAAACAAAACTCTTTTCCTGTTAGGAAAGAATGTAATACATTTAGTAACTTTGAAACCTTCTTAACTTGTAGCTGTAAGAAGTTATGAAGAACACGTGGTGCCAAATACATAAAACAATATTTCCTACCACAATGAGGATTTAAATATAGTTACTGTGACTGGCCAGCAGTAGCACTCGGTCATCATGAAGTGCTGCTTTGCTGTTTCTTGCTTCTTAGCTTAGTTTGAGACAATATGCCAGCACCATTCAGAAATGTGGTCTAACTTTATTGCTCTTTCAGAATTAGCATGCTGTTTCTACACACTCATGTAAATATCTGATGAGTTGTGATCCTTTTATTGTAGTTGGTTTTGGATTAAGCTGCTCTTGTAGTCCCACTCTCTTAAGACTTCGCATTGCAAACAGACTGACATCAGTGAGCCTGGAAAACTTCATATGGAAATAAAGCACTGACTTGGGGATATATCAGGGTTGGACTTGCACATCATTTTCAGTCTGAAATAATAAAATCAGTTCTATTTGTAGGAGTGACAATTGATGATTTGGTATTTTTCAGTGAAAATGATGGCACAAAATGATGGTAGTATTTGCATTCACATCTGAAATTTAAAAGAGTTAGCAATTCTTTCAAGTATTAATTGCATCTGACTTCATGGCTTTTAGAGACAAAGTAAATGCATGGATGCTTATTTGAATAGATTAATTCTTATGCCTAGGATTTTTTCTTTTCTTTTTAGATGCCTGCACAAAAACATCCAAAGAAGAAATGAAAGAAGCGTAAGGAGACTTGCTAATATTATTTTAACTTGCCATAATCTCAAACCAGCTTTTAAAGGCTTTTTTAGTGCACTTTCTGAAAATAAATGCTTAAAGTTAGATGTGCCCTGTTCCAAGAAAAAGCAAATCTCAGCAGATTAACATTGTTAAATATGCGGTGTGTTAAACATACAGTGCTTCAGATTTTATAGCTTATCCACTATTGGTCTATCGGGCCCTTCCAGGAAAGCACTTACAAGCATGCCTAATGTTAAGCACATGAGCAGTGATCTTCAAGTCAGCAGTGTTGTTCGTGTGGATAAGTGCTTTGCTGGACCAGGGCCTAAAGTCCTGTTAGGTGCTGAGCATCCTGATCCATATCCAGCAAAGCACTTATGTCTATGCTTATCTTGAAGTGGAAGAGCTGGTCTAACTAATATTTGTGCATTAGTGTTTGCCATAAAACCTCTCTTGGCACGGTGACTCACATGCTTAAAATTAAGCACCTGCCTATGTATTTTGCAAGAGCAGACCAACAGCATCCTTGAGCAATTCCTATATAATTACTTGATTTTGTATGAACTTTCTATTTTCTGGTTGTTTTTAACAGAGCAAATGATTTTAGTGGCCATAATTTCAAGATTTAGAAGCTGCATAGCAAAATGCTTTGTGCAGTTTCCACATTTATATTTCAAATTGTAGTCACATTCAACAAAATACTCTTTTAGACAAAAAGTCCAATTGTTCAGATTTAAAATCATCAAAAAATGGAAAATGTTGATTTTTTTATATTTTAAGGTCGTTTCAACTTTTTTTTGTTCAGAGTTATTTCACTGAACTTAATCTGAATGATTTTGTCCAACCAACCGTGTTCTGGTATCCAGAATAGGTTACCTAGGTCTGTCTGTGTGAGCAGGCTGATTCTTGAGGTGCTAAGGCTTGGGCTAGGGGGTGTTTTCCGAGGGGCTAATGGAGGAGCTGTAGTTCTATTTTTTTCTTCCTGGCAGAATGAAACCTAAACATGATTAAATCAACATGTACTTTTTTAATGTTGAGAACAAAGCTGAAACCTACGTAGTCCTTTTGGTAAAAACAAAAAATAAGAGACACTTCGTTATATTATTGTTGTGGATGTGTACAAGATATTTTCCATGGGTGAACTTCAACCAAAATATCAACCAGAGTTGACATAAAACAAGGAGGAAATGGATGCTAATGAGATCCTTAATGATAGGCCAGATGCAGGCTGACATTTTTAACTTAAATAACTATCAAACTGCCTTTGGTATCTTTTTTTGTTGTTGTTGTTGTTATAGAACTGTTAAAGTAATGAGGATCAAGATTTTAAACATCATGTCTATTTCTATGTATTTTAACTGTGAACCCAGTTCACTGTGATACCAACAGCAAGTGACCAAAATGTTCTGCAAATCTTGAATGTGTTTGAGGCATTCTAGATCAGAAATCAAGAGATGCTTTGCTTCCACAAAATTTACCCGACTTCAGGTCAAACAAGAACATCCAGAAGAGTTTATTAGGACATTCCTGAAATCTAAAAGATGAAGAGGCATTGGTGTATTCAATTTTCCCTTGCATTTATGATTGTTTGTTTCAAAATGGGAGAGAACTGAACTGTGAACTGTTTAGAAATCAAGTATGAAAGGAAATATAATCTGAATGTTCATTTGAGAAATTTGCGCTGAATTCTTTGTTATTTTCACACTTGTCTAGTTCAGAAGTGTTCACTGTCCCTTTTCATGGAGAAAAAAAAAAATGTGTTTTAGTTTCCTAGGCAGTAATGCATGAATATTAAATGGGTCCAAGATGAAATTTATATTTTTCTAACTTGTATTCAAAAAAGTACTTGATGTAAAAATAAGGCTATATGTTTCAGAAAACTTGTTCTATTTTTTATTTCTATTTTTTATTTCGGATTTTACTTATCATTCATGTGCCAAAAAAAAAAAAAGAAATAAATACTTTTTTACTCATTTGTTGATTATTTATTAATTTCACAGAGAAATACGAAGAGAAATGCAGTTCCATCACAGAACAAATTCCTCTGGTCTCTGTAAGCTCATCAGTATTTCTCGGACTGAGGTGAAGGAAAAAAATGAATCCTGAATAGGTACAAATCTAAAAATTTGATAAGACAGAATCAGTGATGCAGTTACTTTAATCCTTGAGGACTTTACTGTACAGTCAGTCTGGTGAAAACCCGTCTGTGTGTACGTGTAGTTGGTGGCCGAAGCACTTTGGCCATTTTGATTTTCACGAGTGCTTTTTTTGGGTGATTGTGTTTTTTTTTCTTGTTGGTTTTGTTGTTTTTATTTCTCATTTTTAGTTGTTTGTTTGTTTGTTTTTCCTGTTATTGGTTTTGGGTTGGTTTGGGTTTTTTGTGTCTTTTTTTTTTTTTTTTTTTTTTTTTGTGGTGGTGTTTTTGTTTTGTAGAGAATATTCGGACTCAAAGTAAAAGCAATTCCTCAGTCATTATGTTATTCTGGTTTCACTAATTGTATCTGGTTTCACAGTATTGACATGAGGCTGCAGGGCTCTTAGATTTACTGCCATTTCTTTTGCAAAATCCAGAGAACAAGGGACAATGCAAATGTAGAGGGGGTTTTTTGTGCTTTGTTTGGCTGGGGTTTTTTTTGGTTGTCATTTTTGTTTGGGTTTTTTGGGTTGTTTTGTTGGTTTTTTTTTTCAATTAGGTTGGCTTATTAGAATCATAGAATCATAGAATCACCAAGGTTGGAAAAGACCTAAAAGATCACCTAGTCCAACCGTTCACCTATTCCCAATAGCTCCTACTAAACCATGTCCCTCAACACAACATCCAGCCTTTCCTTGAACACCCCCAGGGTCGGTGACTCCACCACCTCCCTGGGCAGTCCGTTCCAGTGCCTGACCACCCTTTCTGAAAAGTAATACTTCCTCATGTCCAGCCTGAATCTCCCCTGCCGTAGCTTGAAGCCATTCCCCCTGGTCCTATCACTAATGACACGAGAGAAGAGGCCGACCCCCAGCTCACTGCAGCCTCCCTTCAGGAAGTTATAGAGAGCAATGAGGTCTCCCCTGAGCCTCCTTTTCTCCAGGCTGAACATTCCCAGCTCCTTCAGCCTCTCCTCATACGGCCTGTGTTCCAGACCCCTCACCAGCTTTGTTGTGCTCCTTTGAACACGTTCCAGGGCCTCAGTGTCTTTCCTGCAGTGAGGGGCCCAAAACTGGACACAGTACTCGATTGATATTAATGAGAACCAAGCATGGAAAGCCTTAAGGTTTATACTGTTTCAAACCTGTCACCTGCCAGCAGTCTTCTGTTGAAACAGAATGACCAGGACAAAGCATATAAGGCAGCTTCTATCTAAATGTGAAATGGCATTTACACTGCTAAGTTTAATACAAACAGTTTGCAAAGTAATGCAAAGACTGAAAAATGTCATAGTTCAAGTGTCAAAGCTTAGCTCTCTTGTATCTCTGTGCCCAACTCTTAAACCCTTTGGGGTCTGTCATGTCACAAATGGCCATACTTTTTCCAAAGCTCCCTTTTCAAAATGTATTTGGTTGCAAAGCAAGCGATGTTATCCCAGCTAAACCACACCTCTGAGGTTCAGCAATTTTCTAAAAAGGAGAGCTAATTGAAAATTGAAAAGGTATACGTTAAAATCCAGCTTCTTGTTTGGGTGTATGTTCACTGAATGAGCATTCACTGTGTTCATCCTTTGCTTTTTCACTCTGACTGAGGGCTTGGTTCTTTTTCCAAAGATGCTAACTTGGTACAGCCTCATCCTTCCTTAACTTCAAGCTAGCCAAGCAAACTGATTTAGAATAGGCACCTACATTTATGAAGACAGCCAAAATCTAAGGTTTCCCCAACCCTGCTGATAATGTGGAGCTGGTCCTGGTGTGAATGGAACCACCAACCACTTCCATGAGTCTCACTCTTGAAGTCCCTGTGCAGTTGACCTTACTAGGCATTCTTAAACTGTCACATTTGATTTCATGATAGCTGATGATCTTTCTAATCTTAGCCAATCCAACATCAGAGAAGCTGAGCAGAAAGTACTGAGATTGGTAGCTAGTGATAAAGCAGTGATCATTGAAAGGGCCTGCTGAGGGAGGCCTACAGGGAAGCTGGAGAGAGACTTGTTAGAAAGGCATGTAGTGACAAGATGAGGGGAAATGCTTTTAAAGTGGAAGAGGGTAGATATAGACTAGATATTAGGAAGAAGTTCTTTACTTTGAGGGTGGTGAGACACTGGAACAGGTTGCCCAGAGCAGCTGTGCGTGCTCCCTCCCTGGAAGCATTCAAGGCTGGGCTGGATGGGGCTTTGAGCAACCTGGTCTAGAGGGAGGTGTCCCTGCCTATAGCAGCAGATTGGAACTAGATGATCTTAAATGTCCCTTCCAACCCAAACCATTCTATTCTATTCTATGAAGTAAGCCACTAAGGACTCACTTCACTTCATTTTAAATGCCTGGAAGTTAAATCTCAACACAGTTTCTCCATTATTAATAGGGAGCATCCTTAAAAGGTGACTGTATTCCAGGAAGAATCATCCACTGGAATATGGCTCTTTCTCATGTGTAGTAAGATGAGCCTGGACAACTATGTGTGCTTGCACACAACATTTGCAGGTGGTTGTCCTCAGCGTCTCTGTAGTATCTTTAAGAGTGGGAGTCAATATTGTATTTGAGGAATTGAATGTAACCTCCAGGCTAGATGGATCAGGCTCTGAAGATCTCTTTGGCTTTCCATTAAATATTGTGCCCAGGCATCCAGGTGGCCAGCCATATCGTGGGGGGCATTGAGCACAGCACTGCCAACTGGGCGAGGGAAGGGACTGTCCACTCTGCACTGCGCTGGAACAGCCTCACCTCCAGTACTGTGTGCAGTTCTGAGCACCACGGTACAAAAAGGACATAAAGCCATTAGAGAGTGTCCAAAGGAGGACTACAGAGATGGTGAGAGTTCTGGAGGGGAAGACATGTGAGGAGTGCCTGAGGTGCCTTAGTTTGTTACTTCCTCCCTGCCTCACAATTTACTCTTCTGTGATTGTAAGGGCAACATTTGCTAGTGCTTATTTTAGAGTTCATTCTCCAATGCCTGAAACGTTCCCACCAGCCCACAAGGAAGCACTGAGAAACTGAACTAAGCTGTCTGCTTAGCATGTAAGCAATGAAAGTAGGCAAGTTTATCCATGCGCCCTTTTCCAGACATGCTTGTGACTGATTTTAAGTAGTTTTAGCCCCTTAATTTCCAGTTATCGTTTCTCACCTGTTAACTGCCCCCCACCCCTCTGGCTGCGATGCTGTGAAGTATTGGTGAGGTACATCCAGGCTTTCAGTGTGAATTAAAGCAGCAACCAGCAGCCAAGGGGTCGTAACGCTTAAGCTGTTAAGGCTCAGCTGAAAGAGTGTATCTGAGCATACCCTTCAGTTCTCTGTCCCTCAGCCTTCCATCTATAAACTGTGAATTATGTCTCCCAGCCTCATCACAGCGATTTGTGGCAGTTGCTAGCCCACAGGATTACATTTAAATAAAAATGTATTTAAAATTGAACCCTGTGAACTCAACCTGAACTTTCTGAATTCCCGTACACCTACCACAAGGAAAGAATACCTCCTCGGAGAATGGAGCTACACGGAGACACCGATTTACTCTGATTTCAGGAAAAGCAGCGTGGGATTACCACACTGACGTTCATGACGCTGTGGGAGGCTGACAATGGAGTGTCCGGGCCCTGACCTGGGCTCCTAAACCTCAACAGAGGAAAGTTTTCCTCTAGATCCAGCTTAAGAGTTGTTAGGTTGGGCCCTACAGAATAGAAGCTTTGTGGAAGATTTAGTACAGCCAATTGTTCCCATAAGCAAAAGCCCCTAGAGCTTTTGTGCTGCTTTAGTACAATTTTGCCTTCAGTAAGCACAGATTGAGACTTCTGGTCTTCCTGGAGTACTGAACTGTAAGCCCAGCAAAAAACATATTTGTAGGGTTGTAGTGGGATGATTGCTCCCAAGGTAACATGCTGGATGGCAGATAAATTCAGCAGCTCGCGAGGTCTGTGAGCATGTGATCAAGGGCAGAAGTAGAAAGGGCAGAGAGAGAGACAGCTTGGACAACAGGAGAACAAAAACAACCAGGGTTCAGCACTTTTCCATCTCTTTTTTGTCTGGAAGTTAAGCAGTAAGTGCTCTTCTTTAGTTGTACGAATGGGATGTGAAAAGCAGTAGGCAGCATGCAACCTCAAAGAGAAAATGTTACTGGACCTTTTTAAGAGACAACCACTACAGAAATGAGTTGGCTCAGTAGCACTTGTAAGGATCAGAGAGATGCTGGAACCAGAGTTTTCCAGGGCCCTGCTCAGCAGTTCTTTACAGAGGGAGATTTATTTTTACAGTGCATGAAAAGTTGGCCTGGGTTTGAAGACCACTGAGAAATATCTGTCCCAGGGGACTTGCAGAGTAACTACAAGCAATGGTATTCTCAGATGTCTTCATCCTTGTGTCCATGTATTCTGCTCTGGATACGTGGAAGCATTTTTCAACTGCCAAAATTTAACCATACAAATCCTAGTGAACATAATGGGAGTTGTGTATCTAAATTCTGTCCTGGAGTTTGGAACTATTGAGTTTAAATAAGCAGCAAGTATTAACACATTTATGGGTTGACAGAGAGCAAGCCATTATCCTAACAGTACCAGGTACTCATGAGTGAAGGGGAAAGGTTTGGGATTGTGGCATCACTTGCACTGATTTTACCAACGTTTTTGACACAGTTTCCAATAGTATTGTTGTACCCAGGCTGTGACATTATAGTCTGGATGATGGACAATCAGATGAATAAGAAGCCCAGTTGCATGGTCAGGCTTGGAAGGTCAAGGCTACTGGTCAAGCCCTACCTGGATGCCTATGATGTGGGGTATTGCAGGTCTGCCTTGGGACCTGTCCTGTTTAACAGCTGTATTAATGACCTAAAGGAGATAGAGGAGTATGCTTGTCAGGTTTGTAGATGACACCAAGGTGGGTAGACCAGTCAATACACTCAGGGCTGTCATTCAGAGGAAGAGAGGCAAGCTGGGGTAGCAGAGTGACAGGAGCCTTATGAAATTTAGCAATGACAACTGTCAAGACCTGAACCTAGGAAGGAAGAATCCCCTGCAGTGATATAGATTGAGGGCTGCCTGGACAGAGAGCAGCTTTGCAGAAAGGACTTGGGCTGCTACTCAGCATTCTTCAATTCTATATATATAGATCACATTCTGCTTTTTGACCACATGGTGCAGGCAGTCCATTGATAGTACTCTGGGACCACACCATGCATTTTTCTCAGATTCATAGCTTCCAGGGCTGCCTGCACTGCAACGGGCATAGATTTTTTGTGACCCACTGTTATATCACTAACTTTTTTTTTTTCCTTTGGCACTCAATGAGACATTGCATCAGCTATGAATATGCATAGGAAAAATTCTATGTGTTTTACAAATTGTGGTAAAATATGTATTTATAGAGGGCTAGAAAGGGTTGTCTTCCTCAGCTCAGCCTTACTTGACAGAAGCCCACCTGGTGCTAATGCCCCTACCTAATCTGTAGGTCAGTGATACTTGTTTCTCACTGAATAAGCCATGGCTGGTGTTACAGCAGCACTAGTCCTTTCAGCAAACTTTAACATCCTCAAGCACTGCTTTCAGGTTTTGTCTCCTGTCATGGGTCTGGAAATGAAGTAAGTAAGGTCTTAATGAACAGGGGACACTTTCTTGAGGGGGAATGGGGAAAGAATTAAAACAGAAGCTGGGGCCAGGGCAGGTAGGTCAGCAGGAGAAGGGAGTAGGGAGTTGGAGAATGCAGTGCCATACGGGTTCTTGTCCTGCAGCCAGATACATCTGTGCTGGTTCCCTGCCCAAAACCTATGGATTGTATCTTCCAGCCAGATTCCTTGGGCTGCAGAGATGGAGTAGAGTCATCTCTCTGGATACAGCAGATATATCCAGGAGCCAACAAATGCCTCTGAGAGCTTCAGGCCTCAGGCATCTCCATCCTGCTGAATCTGAACCCACATCTGTGGTTTTTTTCCCCTTCTCCCAGTGGTAAACCTGACCTTCCCAACAGGAAGAGTTGAAGAGGTGTAGCTGGCATCTGAGTCATCTCGATTTGGTTCTTGACTTCCTCCAAAACCCCTCTGAGATCTGAGATGAGGCACACCTTTACTTCCTCATGGAGGAGAGAGAAGATAGATAGAAATCTCTATTCTTCCCCTGCCTGTGGTTTAGTGATGTCTTGTATTTTTAAGGTGAACTCCTTGAGGCAAGACCCATTTCTTTAGCTATGTTCAGTGCAGCCCTTGGCTTACAGGAATCTTGATCTCCAATTTACCCTTGTAAACTCAACAATAGGAATTGTGCCTTACTGAGGACTGATTTGCCCATCTAAAATATCCATTAAACAAAAACAAAAAAAAACCCCAAGCAGTGCTAAGTGCCTTTTTAATATTGCCTTTAAATTGATTTATTTAGATGCTTTGTTTTTTATGTACAGCCCATAATGAATGCCATGCATTTACTGAATATTTGATTGAACCATTTTTAAAAGACTTTATTCTTCAGCATGTTTCTTGTGCTCCAGATTCATGTTGACATCCACTGGCACAAGCATAGCTCCTTGGTCCATGCTGACTGCCTGCCAGCTGTGGGCTGCTAGTGGTCAACAGCCCCTGGGAAGCAGGATGAAGCTAATGGACAAGGGTAGGGAATAATTACATAGAAGGCTGCTGAATGCAGCCTGTAACAAACCAAAAATAACGAGTGGAAGGCAAGGAGGAAGAGAGAGGGCTGTGCCACATGAGCTGCATTACGACAGTGTGGGCTGAGCAGAAACTCAAGCCATATCCCATGGGACTCAGTCATCACTGGATGCGGGACCTCAACTTCCTACCCTGAGGATGCTGCCTGGCCAGTGCAGAGCTGATGTTGGGTGAACTGGAATATGGCATGGCTCTTCCAGACATATGGCACTTAAGTGGCTCTACAGCACTAAAACTGCTAGCCAATGCTAGCACTAAAACTGCTAGCCAAGCAGTGCTAATAGCAAGCGTAGGACAAGAGGAAGCAGCCTCAAGTTGCACCAGGGGAGGTTCAGGTTGGGTATAAAGAAAAATTTCTTCTCAGTAAGAGCAGTGAGGCACTGGAATAGGCTGCCCAAGAGAGGTAGTGGAGTCACCATCCCTGGAGGTGTCCAAGAACTGTGTGGATGAAGCACTGAAGGACATGGTTAGTGGACATGGTGAGGCATGGTGGTGATGGGCTGATCGTTAGATGAGGTGATCTTGGTGGTCTTTTCCAACCTTAATGATTCTATGATTCATACAGCAGCATCCTGGTTTAACCCTAGGTAGAAGTTAAGATAGGGTTGAAAACATATACTTGTGTTTTAAAGGCTACCGCCAGGCTCCTTTTCAAGGATGAGTTAAGTAGACCCATTGTCCTGTCTTTACTGCATCACGAAGTTAAACAGTCCCATGATCTATGAACTTGAATCACATAGTTAATTACCCCACGCTCCCTCCCTAGTCCCCTTCCCACCCCCCTTTGCTCTTGGAATACATTATATTTCTTTGACAGTCCGCCGAGAACAATGTCTGCTTTTGTGACAGTGACATCGCCAGTGGTGTAAAAATCTATGCATCTGTCAGGTTTCCCCATGTGAAACATAATTGCTTAATTTCCATTTGAAAGTACATCCCTGACATTAGAACAACGTAGACACACCAAGGATAACAGTGATTTCCTGACACCTAGAATGGGGCATAATGCGGTAATAAATAAGTGCGCAGAATGAATGCTCTGCACACAGAGGGAGCAGGTCTGAATTTACAGCTGCAGATTAAGTGTTCCTCAGGAAAAAAAAAAAGAAAAAAAATTTTTAAAAAAAAAGGAAAAAAAAGAAAAAAACAACAGATTAGCATCAATATGAGTCTATGTCAACCAGATGGCTTGCTGTGGAAAAAGAACTTCTCTGCTTTATTCCAGTAACCCTGGCTAGCGGGCTGAATGTCTGAGATGAGAAGAGAAAAATGATCTCATTCGGGACTTTTTTTTTTCCCTTTCCATACATGCAGCTTGAGCTGAAGAAGAGAAAAGCTCTGAAAAGAGCACAGAAGTTCTCCCTTAGCGGTGACGTGTGAGACCCTGTGGACCACAGAGAGCTCATGGACACAGTTCAAAAATGCAGAATGCGCAGCATGAAAGCACTGCATCACAGGTGGATAGGAGGGAGCCTTGGGGACATCACCTTGAGATGGTGATGTGCTGTTCTTTTGGCTTTTCCCTCTCTCATGTAACCCCTGACAGACCTGGAATAGAGTTCATCTCCCCAGGCCCTAGTTCATAGAATTGTAGCACCATAGAATGGCTTGGATGGGAAGAGACCTCAAAGATTGCTTAGTTTCAACTCCCTGCTGTGAGCAGAGTTGGCAGCCTCTAAATCAGGCACTAAGTCAGACTGTCCAGGGCTCCATCCCAGCTGTCCTTGAATACCCTTTGGTGCAGATGGGATATCTGCTGTGGTCAGGCACATCAGCCCCAACCTGCCAATGGACATAGCAATGGAGCAAACAGGCAGTTCGTGTGGAGGCAGCTACATGAGCTGTTGCCTCGCCCTGGTCACCCTGCCTCATTTTACACATGTAATTGAATGCTTTGCTAGCTCAGTTCTCTCCAGAGTCACTGTAGACAGCAGAAGTGTATCTTCATTTGAGTGCTGACAAGGGCCCTGGTGGTGCCTCATTCCACTGATCATGGGAAGAAAAATCTCACTGTAATAAGATTCTGAACTTGACCTGGAGTCAGGCAGGATGAGCCCAAGCTCAGCTACCTGTCTTCAGGGCAGTGAATGCCCTCCCATCTTGGGGCAGGTCAGGATGCCCTCACCAGCTGCCTATCTGGGTCACACGTCACTTTCCCTGGAGCCGCTGCAGGTTGACAGCTGGGGAAGGGTCCTGGAAGCAGCAACTCGAAGAAGGCCAAGTGTACTTATTTGTACAGACTTTTGAGACCCAGTACTAGATTTATTGCTGTGGCTCACTACTAAACGTCAAGAAAACTCTAGTGCGGTGGTTTCTAAGTTGGGCCATGTCATTGGACGCTGCTTTGCACAGCAGGAAATTTGGCTTGGGATGCCTGGATTCCAGTGAGGGAAAAAAAGTGCATTTTAGTGAGGTTGTGATGAGAGCAATCCTGCAGGGAGATCGTAAAAGTAATTGGAGTGACTTGACCTGTCTTATCCGTAACAGCTGATAGATGTGAGTGTGAACCAAGGAATGGGAGATGAGAGTCCTCTTTCTCAATGGAGAAGGTGTGATGTTGTTTGACAAGGCCTGCTTCAAGGCGTCATTCACAGGGCAAGAGCTGAATCGTTATTTTTTCGTTTTCTTTGTTTTAATTCTGTGCCCAGTGAAAATTTCTCACAGTAAGAAGGGAGGAGGATGTTTAACTTTGATTGGGCCCATGATAGAATTAACGTGCACGCAATATCCAGTCCTTGATTCTTTGCTTGTCTTTGGCAGTGAATGAATGTCTGTCAGTGCAAATGTCTACAAAATTACTATTTTAATGACCTGTTTGCTTCAATTAAGGCCTGGCTATTATCTTTCCAAGAAGCGAAGGATTGGGGAGGGGGAGATGAAGCGAGAGAAAAGAGTTGATCACTGGGACGCGTGAGCAGAACATTTAAGGGGCCAGCTGAAACCGAGAGTAGATTTGGAAAGGCTGTATGATGAATCTGTGACATTGCAATATTTCAATCATCACATTTCAGATTCTGGTTCATGCATCATTTGCTATGAAAGTTTTGAGATTTTAATCAGTGTTTCAAGAGTAAATTGATACAGCCTAATCATTTAAAATCTCTGGCACGAGACCAAAGTGTATTATGTTAAGTGTATGTTATGTATTATAAAAGCTGCTTGCTGAAAATTAATTGAGTATTCCCGTGCTAGATAATGTTTCTCCGTTCCCCAGAGCCCATCCCTTTGCGTGCGAGTGTTTTCCCAAGTGCAATGCAGATGCCAGACAAAAGGTGAATATATAACATATGTAAAAGACTGGCTCAGCACAGTATCAGGCCTGCTAACCTCCTTGGCTAGATTGTATGGCTGTTTATTTGTCTGCAAGATGTGTAGGAGGAAAACTCCCGGGTACGAAATAAAAAAAGTATTTTCCATAGAAGTGAAGCATGAGAGAGCCTGTGCCGTGACTCTAATTCATATAAAAAGTTGGAAAAGTGTTTGCTTTTCTCCTCATGCCTTATGTGGACTTGGCAGAACAAGCCACCCAAGTAAATGACACAGATAGCAGCCAGTGAGTCTAGGTAATGAATGCGCTGTCATACTGTGTACTCAGAGGCTTGGGAACTTCCCATATTCTTGTCCTTCTTTTTGTACCTGTGGCAATGCTGACAAAATGGATGTGTATGGAGATGAGGGATTGGGTACACCTCTGATGTGTCAGTGGATAGTCCCCAGCATTATTGGTGCTCTATGCTGACATTTCTGATGCAAACCATTTCTATCTGGAGGGGTTGGTTTCCCAGGGAAAATTGGGCCTCTTTTGCTAAGAGGTTTTGGAGCCTACCCTACCTCCCTAGTGCACAGGCAATAGGTTAAAATGCTTTTGGCTTAAGTTCAAATACCCCTGCTCCCTGACTCAGGGTTATGAACAGAGGCTCTCCAGCTGAATATCCCTAGTGTTAAGGCATTTTCCTCAGAACTCTGGCTGAAGCTGTTCCAGTTCATATGTGTTTTTTAGCCATTCTTAATGTCTAGCATATGAAGATGTGTACCCACTGCCTGTCTCAAGTCATTCTCACACTTGCTTCCTCTTGACCACACTGAAATGATTTTGATGAAGTGGAACATGGACATTCAGAGCATGTATCTACCCTCTTGAAATGGGTGGATCAAAGCTTTGAAGTCCATTAATGCTAATGGATCTTGATCCAGCTTGCAGATACCTGCCTTCCTCCTATTTATTAAATAGTCTCTTGGTGAATATCATACCAGCAAACCAACTTTTGAGGGCTCTTTCCTCATTGAAAAGGCTGCTGCTGTGTCACAGTGTTATATCCCATCATCTTTATATTAGCTGCCAAAGTGAAAGGCTCTAGACTTATTTAAATAAAAAAAAAGTAATAAAACCTCCTCTTTTTTCATTTTGGGGCTCAAAGCAAAAGCTCTGAATGCTTCTGTTTACCATTTTTATTACACAATATTGGCATTCGTAAACTCTGGAATGAAACCTTTCTTTTTTTTTCTTTTTTTCCATTAAAGAGCTCAGTATCAATGTTTCCTACTTTCCATGTATTATGACAAAACATTAAGCCCAGAATATCTGTTGCCATTGCTAAAGCACTGTGTTCTTGTGCGACTGGAAATCCATTCTTTTCATTGCTCCCTTTTGTACACCCTCCATAAAGCCAACTGGCTTCAGCTGTTGACAGATAATAGTGAGAACAAGAAGAGGTGTTAAAAAAAACTGCCAGGAAAGTCTCCAAGCAGAGCTCATCGTGAGCAGACCTCTCTCATTAGCTACCCCAGGAGAAAGCTCTGGTCAAGACAACGTGCCTCCGTCTCAGATGCCTGTGCTGTCCTGTGAGACTCCTCGTTCTTCTGGGCTCTGCTGGTTCATTGAGTCCAGCTCTGTCTGATAGAGCTGCTGCTTTGCTTCTGATTCCTGTTGTTCCAGGTTGGACGGGGTCCTGGGCAACCTGATCTAAATGTGTATGTTTGGTGGCCCTGTTAGGCAGGGGGGTTGGAACTACATGATCCTTGAGGTCCCTTCCAACCCGGGTGATTCTGTGATTCTGTGATTCTGTGATTCTGTGATTCTGTGATTCTGTTGCTTGCCACACTGTGAGTTCTATGCACCACGCAGCAGAAGAAGCAATGACAAATCTAGAGCTACAGTGTGAAACTATGTTAGAATTTGCTTATGGGAAATGGAGGAAGATGAGCATAGTGTAACACGGCCAGGCATGTGAGGTGGCTTGAAGAAATGTATCAGACCAAGAGAATAAGAAGGCAAAATCCTGAGAATTATGTTCTGACTGTGACTTGGCAGACTAGAGGTGATGCTACAGAAGCACTGTGTGTATGCATTCTTATATTCCTTCGCCCACTTTGTATCTGTATTGACTCATCTGCTTCCACTCCCCCAGGAAGCCAACAGCAGTTTCATGACATCCCTTGGAGATTCCAGCAGTGTAGAATAAAGAACACTCTCAAAAACTCAGTGAAGGTCACTTGTGATTTTGAAGCAAGACAGTTGCAGGTAAGTGGCTCTTGGAGAGGCAGGCAATTTGGCATCAGCAGGACTGGTTGCCCGAGCAGCTTGGGAGCTGATGGCTTGTTCTTTGCAAAGTAAATGAGCCTCATACTAATTTGTCATCAGAACATGAAAATGTGAACTCTGACCAAACCAGATTAGTGCTGTACTCAATGGCAGCAGTGCTCAGAGCAAATAAGGCCAAATCAGGTCATAAAACCCTTTAACTTGTTTTAAAGTGTCCCTCATAGTGCATTGGCTGAAATCTGGCTTTCAACGTGGTTTTGCTACTGTCACAACCCAGCAGAGATGCCCTGTAGCTACAGTTGGATTTAATACTAGTATCAATCTCTGTTGACAGATCTCATTGCTGCTGTGTGGATCCGTCAGGCTAAGCATAGCTTTTCACTGGCATCAGCAATCATGAGATTTGCCCCAGGAACCTGCTGCACACCCAGGTCAGCAAAGCCACTGCTTCTGCCAGCACTAAACAGAGGTAAATCATTAGTGGTACAGTAGCAGTACCAAAGGGGCAGATTTTAAAGGGACCTAGTTGCCTTGTTCCTGGGGCAATTAGAGGAGTGGAGTACATAAGTGCTGTGGAACACATCTGGCCCTTAGGGCATGCTTTTCACAGCATAGGTATTACCTGATTCATCTGGACCATCCTCAGCCTGCCTGCCCTTGTGTTAAATACAACATCAGGGCCACTTTAAAGCTTGCAAAGAACAGGTGGTTGTCATCAGCATGCTTCATCCAGCTATCACTCTCCTGGCTGGGCTTCTGCCTGTACTGCCTTAAGAAGCTAGAGGAGGCAGAAAGCAGCCCCTGGTAGGCAGAAGAGCTGAGATACCAAGGCCTCAAAAGAGGGCTGGGAGGGAAGGAAGGCTCTGAAAATCCACTCTTTCTTAGATTTTTATTTTCTTTAACAAGCTTAGGCATGCTTGGTTTCTCCCATACATGTATCACTGCCAAGTGGTGTCTGTGAGTGCAGCTATTACAGAGCTGTGAAGTAATGAGTCCAAAAGGGGATTAGACAGATTCAGGGAAGGTAAGGTGATGTCTGTTAAGCTTGGTGGTCTGGACCCAACCCTGGCGGCAGGGAGGCTATAAGTTGCTGATTTCTGGAAGCCAACAGGCTGTTCCAAGTGGAGCCTCAGTTGCTACGCTTCGCATTCTCAAGGATCTTCCCTAGGGAATTTCTCCTGGCCCCTACCAACGTGCTGAGATAGATTGACCTTTGATCTGCCTTCATGTTGTTATTTCCTCATGTAACTTGGACACAAAAGTAAAAGATGAACTTAGCCGTCCTCCTCCATCCCTAGATCCCAGCATGCCCAGCACATGCAGGCTTCGTAATCCGGGCTTCTGAAGGCTAAAGGCTACATGCGTCATGGAGGAATACATACATCTCCTGCTGTTTTCATAGTTCGATATGCAATCTTTTCCAAATGAAAACCTTTTGCTCTTAAGTCTATTGATACCTTATTCATGTAGACTTTGTGTTGTGTCCTTCAGTTTCAAGCTCTTTACTGGAGACATACCTCTTCTGGGCCAAGACAGTGCTTCCCTTTTTCACATGTATGATTTCCCAAGCATGAGTGTATCTAATTGTATGTTTACTGCTTAAATTTTACTTTCCATCTGCTTTCCAGTAACATCCAGCCATGTCATTCAGTGTGCTCACTGACAGCCAAGGTATACCTTGGGCAATGTAATATTATAGAATCATAGAATGGTTTGGGTTGGAAGGGACCTTTAAGATCATCTAGTTCCATCCTCCTGCTATAGGCAGGGACACCTCCCTCTAGACCAGGTTGCTCACAGCCCCATCCAGCCTGGCCTTGAATGCTTCCAGGGAGGGGGCATCCACAGCCTCAACGGGCAAACCTGTTCCAGTGTCTCACCACCCTTACAGCTAAGAATTTCTTCCTAATGTCTAGCCTAATTCTACCCTCTTCCATTTTAAAGCCATTTCCCCTCATCCTGTTGCTACATGCCATTTTAAAATGCCCCTTCCCAGCTTTCCGTCAGCCCCCCCTTCAGGTTCTGGGCGGCCACTATGACGTCCTCCTGGATCCTTCTGCTGAACAGCCCCAGCTCTCTCAGCCTGTCCTTGTAGGGGAAGTGCTCCAGCCCTCTGGTCATCTTTGTGGCCCTCCTCTGGACCTGCTCCAACAGCTCCATGTCCTTCTTGTGTTGGGGGCCGCAGAACTGGAGCAGCACTGCAAATGGGGTCTCATGAGAACAGAGTAGTGGGGCAGAATCACCTCCCTTAACCTGCTGGTCATGCTTGTCTTGATGCAACCCAGAATACACTTGGCCTTCTGGGCTGCAAATGCACACTGCTGGCCCATGTTGAGTCTTTCATCAACTGATACCCCCAAATCCTTCTCTCAGGGCCACTATCAAGCCATTCTCCACCCAGCCTGTATCTGTGCTTGGGACTGCCCTGACCCAGATGCAGGACCTTGCACTTGGCCTTGTTGCACTACATGAGGTTGGCATGGGCCTGTCCAGATCTCTCTGGCTGGCATGAATTTAATATATATATATATGAATTTAATTTATTGAAGGTCTTTACATATTGAAGGGGCTTTACATGAAGTATAGACAAATTACTCAACACAAAAAATATATTGAGCTCACTGCCTCGATATAGCATTCAGAACAACATTGTTTTACCTGCTACATACTGAAGCAGCAACTCCCCTGCACTTGCCATTCTGCTTACTGGCTGCAGTGCGGTGCTCTCACTTTGACTCCTTTCTCACCTGCATGCAGATTCTTCCTCAAAAATCATGCAGTCTTTCTCCCTCTCTCTTTCTCTTCAGTTTCTTTTCTTAGATTTTTTTCATGGCTTTGGTTTCACTGTGCTCTATGCAAGAGGAAACATCGAAGTTATGACAGGGAGGCCCTAAGGCAACACTGAGACCGAGAACTATCAAAAAGAAGTGAAAAACCTAAATGTCTGTGCAGCACCATTAGTTCTGGGTCCATTTTGGTGAACAGAACATTGATACTCAAGGCAAAATCTCAGTAAGGGTTCTTGCCTGTGTTGTAATGAGTTCTGGGCATAAGCTGTTCTCAGCATACTATGTCCTTTTGCAGAGCATTGCATAAAAACACCTGGCAGCGTAAACTCCCATCCTCCACGTAATCAGTATACCATGGAGTACTACTGGTGAGGGGTCTGGAGCACAAGTCTTATGAGGTGCAGCTGAGGGAGCTGGGATTGTTCAGTCTGGAGAAGAGGAGGCTCAGGGGAGACCTCATTGCACTCTACAACTTCCTGAAGGGAGGTTATGGTGCAAAAGGGTCTGGCCTCTTCTCCCAGGCAAATAGTAGGACCCGAGGAAATGGCCAGAAGTTATACCAGAGGAGGTTTAGGTTGGATATTAGGAGAAACTTTTTCTCTCAAAGGGTGGTCAGGCACTGGAATGGCTGCCCAGGGAGGTGGTGGAGTCGCCGTCCCTGGTAGTGTTCAAGAGGCGCCTGGATGAGGAGCTGCGAGAGATGGTTTAGTGCTTGTGGTACTATTTGGAATGGGAGGGTGGTTGGACTAGATGATCTTGCAGGTCGTTTCCAACCTTGTGATTCTGTGTCTGTACTTCTGGTAAGAGTCATGGAATAATTAAGTTAGAAAGACCTCTAAGATCATGTAGTCCAACCATCAGCCAATCTCCACCATGCCTGCTAACCATGTCCCTCACTGTTACGTCTGCATGGTTCTTGAGCACCTCCAGGGACGGTGACTCCTGGACACCTCCCTGGACAGCTTGTGCCACTGCCTCACTGCTCTTTCTGAAAAGGAATGTTTCCTAACATCTAACTTGAATCTTCCCTGGTGCAACTTAAGGTCCATTACCCTCTTGTCCTATTGATCTGGGAGAAGAGACTGAACCCCACTTCACTACAACCTCCTTTCAGGGAGTAATGGAGAGTAGTAAGATCTCTCCTGAGCCTTCTCCAAATTGATCAATCCCAGTTCCCTCAGCCTCTCCCCATAAGACTTGTGCTCCAGGCTTTTACAGCTTTGTTGCCCTTTTCCGGACACACTCCAGAGCCTCAGTGACTTTCTTGTAGTGAGGGACCCAAAAACTGAACTCAGTGCTTGAGTTGCAGCCTCACCAGTGCTGAGTACAGGAAGGATCTGCCTGAACTGGAAGAGATGCCAAGAACACATTTGCTTTGAGAAAGGAAACTATTCTTACACAGCTGTATGGAAGGTGAGGTCTCTGGATGTTATCTAGCTGTTCAAATGAATTCAAATAGAAAGCCCCAAATCCCCATTCATAATGGACAGAACATGAATAACAGCTGAACCACTACTCAGGAATGTCATGCTGCAGGACTAGGATTCAGTGATACCCTCCGTAATGGTAAATTTCATTTATATACCCAGGTTCCATGCACAAAACAGTGACAGCACAAAACAAGAAAACAGGAAAATGAGAGGTTTGAAATAAGATTGTGAAGGTTCACATTTATGATTTCTGATCTGATTTGCTCAGCTTTTACTAGGAAATATTTTTCATGATTGCCAACTTTACTGCCATTCGGCCTCTGCTCTTTTCTGGCTCATGCCTCATCACCAGAAATAAAAAGTCCTGCAACTGGAACTTAACGATTCCGCTGCGAGGCATGAATCAGAAATGAATCCAGAGTTCTCTCCTACAGCACCATTAGCTCTGCAGTGCTCATAAAAATCATTGGTTGGTAGCAAATTTTTTGAGCAGAAAAGAACTTCACAGGACTTCTCAAAAAGAGATCCACACTAGTCTTTCAAGACTTAATTTGCAAACTTGTTTTGCTGTTTGTTATGGCACATTAGAGTACTTATTACTGGTGTGAAAACATGAAGGTGTTATATGTGGAGCACAGCATGGGACATTTCATGACTCTTTAATGAGTATTTCTGTCTGTTTTCATGGGATCACACGTCAGTAATGCACAATGCAAATCAAACAGACTCTGTGGTGCTCAGCTCTCAAATTGCACTACACTAGCATTTTTTTCTTCTTTACATAAAAACACATACATATATTGACCTCACTAACTGGACATTACTAACTGGACATTTTTCCTGCCAATAAAATCAAAATTATTCTGGATTGTGTATTGCAAAGAGATGCCCAAAGTGACGAGGTTGTAAGAATCTGCTGAGAACCTCAGCTTTACACAGGGAGCAGAGCAGGCCAGCTTCAATCATCTGTGGCACCGTTACACGGCTGAGCAGATATTGGACTACAGAGGCAAAGTCCCATTAGCACCACCAGAAATTATTTCTGAACATGGAATGCAAAGGAGAAGTCTGTATTTGTTCACTAGGGGAGGAAGTAATGCCACAGTAAGAAAGCTGTTCTTGCAAATTATTTATGGCTGAGTTTGGGGATGATTAGGACTTGTGCCAGGTATTAAATCACTGCAGGCCACGGAAATTTTATTTTTAAGCATTGCTCTTTTGGATGCCCCAAAAATTGCTTTAGCTGTGAATTATTCTGAAAGAGCATGGACAATAAAAATGTGTGAACCATAAATCAGAGCCAATGCCTCCCTGCTGGAGAACCTGAGTACAGAATGGGAAACCAAAAATTGGAACTACTAAGAAATGGGTTTCTTTTTCTTCTGCAAGTACAGGCAAGCGTAAATCCTAAGCCTAGCATGGCAAGCAAGTTCTCATTGCTCTTGAGCTGCAGCAGAGAGGACAGGACCAAGTTGCTCAAAGAATCTCTAGCTCCTCTGTAGCTCAGCACTCTCCAGGTAAAAGAGTGAACAGAAAGAGAAGGGGAGTCTGCCAGCAAAGAAGTCCAAACAGAGAAGGCAGTGGCTATTCCACTCTTTCCAAGTCATTACTTCACACAGCACAGCCTGTTATTTGGAGAGCCCATGGAAAGCTGTCCAGGCAGGGAAGCACACTGCTGCTGAGAGGTCCGCCTCCACTCATCAGCAATGGGCGCTTGTGTGAGCAGAACTTCTGTGAGGAGTTTTACAAGCTGAGTGGTAGGGGAATCTGAATTTTAGGTGGTGGATGGAAATACTAAGTAATGTGAGAATAATTCTGTTCATGTGACCTATGTCAGTGGGTGGCAGCATTTGCACCTTCATTATGACTTCCCTTGATGTGTTAGATGTTCTGGGTTGTCCCAGTGGAGCACCAACACATTGATTTGTGTGTTGAACTGACTGATCATACGAACACTCCTCAGTGAAACCTTCAAAATAGCCACTTACAGGTAATATAAATATGTTCTTTGCCAAATGACTGCTCTAGCCAGAAGTTATGGGAAAGAATACATTCAATTTGGTTTGTTCTATTTGATACTTCTTTTTCCCTACCTAAAAGCTGTTGGAAGGAGTGTGACTCTCCTTCAGTGGAGTTCTGCTGGCAGTGTCAGTAGATGTAAGTTGTAAAACAAGCTGCACTTTGGCATTTTTCTCACCAACAGCCCAAACCAGCACTAGTCCAGGATGGATCCCAGCTCTGAATCATAAACATGAATCAAAAAGAAAATGCGATACATCACTTAGCTTCTCACTGTTGCTACCTGCAGTATTAGCAGTACTTCCTGAGCCACTGTGCCATGCCAAACCTTGAATGGGCTCTTCCCCACGCCCCATTCCAGGGGCGAAATAGAGACTTACTTCTCCACAGGCACTCATGCACTTTCTTGCAGAAACAAGGACTTAGCTGACAGGGAGTGCACTGTTTGAAGGAGAAGAGGATGAAGGTGTGTAGCAGTATGGCTACTTTCCCTTTTCTGACCCCCTGTATCTTATCATCCTCACTCTGGTGACTGTAATTTGCAGAAGAGAAGAGTACACTCGCTTGTATCATAGCAAGCATTGCTTCGGACATCTCTGCACTAGATTTTCTTTGCCCAGCATTTTGAAGTCAGTTCTTCGCATGTACAATTAGTGCAAGGTTTTTATACTTTGTCAGCGAAGAGTTACAATATTAAATATTTTCCACAGACCAGCTAACGCATGCCCTTATGTAAGCAGCTCTTGCAAGAGAAGAACAAGTTCAAAATAAATCATTACATCCATTACTTTGTGTCTGTGCACAAGTTACTAATTATCTCTGAATATAAACACCAATAAAGATAGAGTCTATTTCTGAGTATTTACTTCCGCAAATTGTCAGTGACCTGACTACTTGGCTACTATGTTAAATGATTGTTCCTCTGTGTTAATGTATTCCAGACTGCAAAGTCCTGCCTGCTCTAAAATTAAAGCTCTGAATTCAGCAGAGCACGTGGATGTTACCTCGAAGTGAAAGTGTTGGAATTTCTGGAACTTGAGGTCTTGCTTGAAGTATCTACTGATAGATAACATCTATTTCAAAGCAAAAATTCACTCAACCCTACCTGAATGGGCTTCTCGGTCATGGGGATCATGACCTCTTAGGAGGTAAGCCCCACACCAAGTCCAATTAGCTAATCTTGGTTCATGGTTAGCAGTGGGGACGGGGACTCGATATTTATATCCTGTTTCTCCAACTTCATGGAAAGAAGTTCTAGTAAAATAAAATAAAACAAAATAAAATAAAATAAAAGTACTTGTTCTCTTTGACCCACTGACATCAATGGAAAGGCTCGTATAGATGTGATATGGACTCAGATAAAGACTTAGTCTCCATTTCCATTGATGGTACAGGTGTTCAAACATCGAAATGATAAAGAGAATCACAAATGCTGAATTGGAAAAGTTCTCATTTCACAGATTTCTCAGATACAAATTTTTAGTTATTTTCTGCATGGACAAATGAAAGAGAAATGGAAATGATCTCTGAATTCATTTCAATACATTGAAGAGATAGTAAGAATGTCAGGTTGCAAAAACTGATGGCTGAAGGAACTCTGATCATCCCAAATTTTCATCCAATTATTTCATTTTGTTTTATCACCACCCATTCTGTTTTGTTAAATGGAATAAAACTCACAGTTCAATAATAATAATAATAATAATAATAATAATAATAATAATAATAAGTATTATGGACATTGACTAATCAATCAAACTTGGATGGGCTCAGAGCAAGTATTTGTGAACCGTAAGCAAAGATTTCTGTGTCATGCTGTGGAGGTGCACTTTTGTGGAGCAGAAATTTAGTCTTCTGCTAACAAGATACCTCCAATCCTTTCCCACTCAGTGATTCTTCTGCTAATGGAAAGTAGTGTGCTGCAGTGGGATGGGGAGAGAGGGGAGATGTGCCCTGCAGAACTGGGCATGGTGAGGATGTAGATCGGGACTCAGGAATTTAGGAGTACTCTTATACTGCCACTTAGCTGTAATCAAAGAATCTCTTTGAAATCTATTTTCAGTGAAAAATTAAAGGTGTACATTTGCAGAAATAACTCCAAATTCAAGGTTCTAAAGTAAAGAAATGCAAAGTGGGCAGCAAAATACTTGTGCCAGACACCTCAGACTGGAGTGACTAACAGCACTTTTTAGCAAGCGCTGCATGGGACTTTGCTGATTTAGTAGGTTCCAGATTGGAAGCAAAGAAATACCCACACCACAGATGCCTTCCTTGTTGTGAAGGCTTCTACTTCTTCCTATCTACTTCCCCTGTCCATGCCCTGTAATAGAACAGTTGCAGGACTTATTCAGTGGAACAGAAACAGAGACATTTGGAAGGTTTTCCAGACATTTAACCAACCATCATCTTCATGGAAAGATAGACAAGGTGTAATTCTGAATAAATTCTTAGGAACATGGACAGAGCTAAAATCATTGTAAGGTTGCATTAATGGAAGGATGTTTGAATATGGGCATTGGCAATGCACCTTTACTGCCACTTCTTTCAGTGCTGAAACTTCCACTGGGAGCAGCTATGACAACGCAAATAGACGTACATACATACCATAGATTATACTGGGAATCTTGGGTGCTCCTTTGAATGGAGAGTGCCAAAAGGAAAAGGATCTCCAGAAGAGCTGACATTCTGTATCATGCATTTTTTCCATAAATCATATATTTACAAAAGATCTTCTTCAGATTGTTTTTGTTTGTTTGTCTTTGTTTGCTTTTGTTTTTGTTTTATCCTCTCCATACTTTCAGTCCACAAAGAGAGAAGTGAAAAGATACCCCGGAGCTACACTACGGATTGGTTTGTTCATGGTTTAGATGAATTCTCCTGTTTTAGGAACAAAAAGTCATGATGAGTTTCCTTACACTGAAAATGGCGACAATAACTGTTACATCAGTAGTAGCAAAATATTTATCTAAACAAGTCCCATATATCTGATATAAAATGCCACAATGTGTGTCTGCAGATATGTAAAAGAGGGAAACAGGTAAAGATTGAGTCCATGGTGAGAGACGAAAAGAAAATAAGGACCCTCTGCATGATGTTTGGAGTAAATTTCTCAGGCAGCTGATGTTTATACCAGCAGTGTTCCCATCAGATTAAGGCACGTAATGTAGGGACGTAACCACTGTTAACTTCCCCTCGTAATCAAAGGGAAAAAGCAGTGATACATGCTGAGATCCTGTGATACGTGCTCTGAATTTGGAAGCTCTAAACAGAGTATTCTGTAGATTTTCCTTACGCCACTAACTATAGAGGGGTCTTTGGTTGACCAAATTCTTGATTCCCATGCTTCAACTTCTGACAGAACTGTGACTCCACAGATGCCAGAATTCCACTTCAATCTCAGTTCCTTCATTTGGGAAATGCTATAGCACCACTTAATGATGAAGGTCACAAAGCTCAACATCCCAATCCTGAAGTAGGTGTCATTTTTTGAGACTAAGCTGGTTTTCATTTCCCAGGCAACACAATCATCAAGCCAAGAACGGGGTGCTCCAACATGAGATAACAGAGGTTCCTAAAAAAAAAGTAATAATAGTAATAATAACAAAAAAGATCTTCTCTGCATCAATTTAATCGATTTCACTATAGAGTGAGGCAATTATTTGTGCCAGATGGGGAGCCAGCCCATAGATGTATTCCTCTGCAACAGAGGTTTGTCTCCATGTTCAAACTAAAATGTTGCCTTACTGCTCCATCAAGCACAGCATGGAATGGAAATAGACAGCAAAATCTTCTGTCTTCAGCTCTAAGCTTTTCTGAATGGTAAAGATGACAAAGAGACTGGAGCATCTCCCATATGAGGAAAGGGTGAGTAACATGGGTCTGTTTAACCCGGGGAAAAGAAGACTTAGAGGGGATCTGATTAATATTTATAAATACATAAAGGGAAGTGGGAGACAAATGGATGAGGCCAGGTTCTTCTCGGTGGTGCATAGTGATAGGGCAAGGAATAATGACCTAAAACCTGAACATAGGAAGTTCCAATTCTAACAAGTGGAAAAACTTCGTTATGGCAAGAGTGATAGAGCACTGGATCATATTGCCCGGAGAAGCTGTGGAGTGTATTTCTCCAGAGATATTCAAGACCCGTCTGGATGCCCACCTGTGTGACCTATTGTAGGGAACCTCTTTGTTAGGGGTTGGACTCAGGGATCTCTTGAGGTCTCTTCCGATTTCAGCGATTCTGTGATTCTGTGAATAGAGTAGAAGATTCTGTAATGGAACACAGGATAAAACAAACTTTAATATCAAGGAGAAGATTTTGAAAGGCATAAGTGATGCTGAAACAAAAGTGCTGCTGAAGGTGTTGCGTGCTTTTCTGCTCTTTATAAGCCCAGAAATGTTCTTTCTCTATAGCAAATCCCAACTAATTGGTCAACTGATCAAAATATATTTCTTTTTCCACAAAAGTGTCTTAACAAAACCAATATGTAGAAATTTGTCAAACATTTATATGGGGTGATGCTTATGAGAAAGTGAAAAATATTTATGTTTTCAGATTTTCAAGGAAATCTGAACTACTTCCATGAACTTTCATTTCACTTTGCCTGCAGAAGTGTATTTTATTACACTTTTCATCAAATTAATGAACTGAAAATGTGCTCAGCTAATTTATTCTGGTGAAGAAAGAAATCATACAGCAATGCAACATTTTGAAATATTTCTAAGAAGCAGGTGAAATGTGTTTGGTTTTTTTCCGGCCCTAATGATTTTGTGCACATACATTGTCCCTTTCTTGTTGACTGCAACCTTATCAAAGTAAAAGCAACAAGTGATATGCCAAGGATGAGCCATAAAAACGTGCCAGAGAGGGTGAAATCTGCATGCCTGAAGCCTTGTGAAAAAGCTGCCAAAAAAAGTCTGCCCATACTAATATAAACACTGTTCTTATTGCTATACAAAACTGCCTTGTATAGTGCTGGAGCTACCTGGGTGATTTCTGAGATGGCACTATCTTCATTACAAATGCTCTGAAGGCAATAGTTGTAGATGTAGTGTGGCTCAGTGGAAATGGCAGTAGCTTACTGCCTCAGCCTACTGAAATTCTGTGGCTGACCAAGAGTGTATCATTCTTTAATTGACAGTGGAAGAGTTCAGAAGGAAACCAGAAGTGGTCACAAAGAAGCAATGAAATGCAGCACATCTGGGAGCATGTATCAATTCACACTATGTATGAAGCCATGATCCTCAAAACTAAGGTCTTGTCTTTCTCCATTGTACACACAAACAGAGTGTGCACTTATGGTACATTTGTGGAGGCAACAGACAACCAGCAGCAGCTCAGACCTGATATCTGAACTGTTATTCTGTTAAGTTATTCATATAAAGAAAGAGCTGCTTCTTCCTCCTCCTCCTCACCCTTCACGATATCAGTGTCCCATCTGACACCACCAAGGGTGTCATTTCCTTCGCTTCAGGCACTTAGAAAATTTAACTGAGAATAAATATTATCTCTTTTGCTGGTTGTATAAGCAACCACAGCAATTATATAACTACATAACTTCCTTTCAGGATAAAATGCACATAGAATGATAGAAAGATACGTAAGGAAATTCAGAATGTGTATTTTTCCTGAGAAGTTAACCCAACAATTTAAACTATAAAAATGAAAGCTAAGCAAAATTTTAAAATACTGCAATATGAAGAATGTAGAATATGAAGAAAATAGACTCACTGCATATCACAGTCTGACTGCATTTGGACAAGAAATCCTCTCCCATCAAATCCAAACTCTGCAGTCCTTGCATAAATCAGTGACTTCATCTTTGGTGACTCACTGCCTACAATATTTATATTCACCAGACTATATTCCTCGTGGGAAACTGTGCTGCTGGGACCTATATCTCTTTCTGATCCTTGTAGACAAGGTAAAGAGGATGTTCTCTCACCTTGCCTTAATTCCACACACTTTGCACAGTATCCCAGTAGGATTGCTATCCTCAATTTCATAACAATGTTGAATAGTTCTTCATCTCCTGAGAAACTTCATCTTGTGCTGTCTAGGGAATAGCAGAGAGAAGAACGTATGTGAGTGCATTCGTGTCCATGATGTGAATTCTCTTGGTAGACTGTTATAGCACAGTACACTAAGATGACAGGAAGGCTTAAAGATAAGTACTTACTAAGCATGAGATGGCAGTGGTGCATGCAATATTCATTTAGCTCCAGTCTCCGAAAGAGTGATGATGCATTCTTTCATTACATGCTCATA